GCGGCGGCTGCAGCAGCGTCGCGCTGCGTCGATGGCAGATCCCGTCGATCTTCGTGAACGACAGCGTGTATGTTTCTGCGAGCGAGAATGGAGAAGACGTCGGGAGAAATTCGCTGGAATCGAATGGTGGGAGTTCTAAGCGTCGCAGGGTTCAGTCGGCCGCCGGTCTTCGGGGCCAGAGCTCCACTCACGAAGATCGTTTTCGAGGGAAGCATCTGCTCCTAAGGGAGCAGATCACTACGCGGTGCTTCTTCAGAAAGAATTAGGGCTATTTTCGACTTTTGACGCTGGAATACACTACTTGAGCCCCGCGCTGCGTAGTGATTGTCCGGTCAGAAATCAAGGATCTGTGTGGGAAGTCCACTCGCTTGTCTGCATCGATTAGAAACTGTGGGTGTATCATTCGCAGCGTTAAGACTGAAACTCTCCGGCAGGAATCGATCCGGATCCAGCAGGGAGCATGTATGCAAATTTTGAGTTTGAATTCGAGATGGTTCATTGGTTACGGAACGTAGCGGCGCCGCCGGAGACGATGTGCGGCAATCGTCCGGTGGAGATGGAACAAAGATTCAACTTCTATGTCTAGGTCACTGAAGGTCAGACGACATCAAGGATCACGGCTGAAGATCCTACGGCGGAACCGACAGAATCGGTGGGAGACGCTTTCAGGGCTTTCTTAGTACCGGCTGGAGATCTTCTTGTTTCGTGTTGCACAGAATTGTAATTGATCTACGAGTAATATTACCAAGAGAGTGCTCGCTGTCGGTTCTGTACGGGACACGTTTTCGAGCTCTTTTCTTTGGACGTCTCGCATTAGACCCGGTTAGGTTCCCGTCCCTCAACGTGTCTCCGACCAGATTACTCATCGAATATAAGCGACAATTCTTCCGGAATGTGCGTCGATAAGTGCAGGATATCCTTTCTCGTCGGAGAGGGCCTCCTCCGCGAGAAGCAGGAAATCCGAGATGTTGCTTTTCGTCAGTCCGATCGGAAATCGGCACCGCCGAAGTTTCCGGGACAGAAGTCAATGACTCGACGCAGACTGCCAGCTTTCCAGATATACATACATCGGAGCTCAGATATGAATTAATCAAAAACAATTTGCTCAGGGAATCAAGGCTCCCGGATCTGTCCAACAAGGCTCGGGTCTCGTGACTGACATCACCTCCGATTCTGGGCGGAAAAAATCCCAAAAAAAACAGAATTGATCTTGTCCCGTGTGGGGCGCATCATATACACCGGAATCGTACTTGAGCTTGTGAACTCAGAAATTCGAACACGAAAATTGGTCAAGAAGTAGGACAAGTGGAAGCGCTTCACCACGTAACGTTTTTCGTGAGGGCGCGGGTCACTCCGCGGGATACCCGGCCCCGTGGTACCTCGGTGACTGCTTCGACACTTCTCTTCTCCGCATCGAAGCGGATGGAACGTCCTTGCGTGCCGAGCTACGAGTACAAGGTTTAGTTCCGGAAAACCTTTTGCGGGAACTTGAGAAGTTCAAACGTACGATGATTCATGATCCGACAGATAATTTGACACTGACGCCCCTGCCCCCACGGGTTCCCTCACGTGATTTACGCCCTCTCACACTCACGATCCGAAGTTTTCGACACCGTGTACAATGAGACGTATGAACTGCGGACGCGCCGTGTACAAGTGCAGTTCTCAAACCAGAAAGCGTGATTCGTGATTTGCCAACATTCAGTGTTTCTGTTGATGGCAGAGAGATTCTTTTTTCCGGATTTATACCCTCCCAGTGAAAGAGACACATCATGGAAGAAATTCCGTGCCAAAATTTACAAATCTTGGATCAAATTTTGCGGACTTCGGGTATGTACCGACTCTCGGCAATAATCCGCCATAGCATCAACATGGGCTCTGATCGGTTCGGTCCTCGTTCCGATGATTGAGAGTTCAGCCTGCTGAGACTGGAAGCACGCATCCGTTTGCAAGAGCGTCGCTCGCCCGAGAGGGCTACTTTGGCATCTAAGGTCTCGTCGCACTTGCCGATTATATCCTGTTGCTCACGCGGCGAAACCGTGCATCTACCTTGATGAGCGAGTACATGAGGGACATTCCCTCAAGGTCTGATTGATCCTTGGAGCTCCGAATAACCTCATCAGGCCCGTTTGGGCTGGATGAGATAATTCGATATTGATATTCCCCTCGGGGGGAGGGGGGGGCACGCAAAAGATCCCCGGAAGTCTGCAGATGGCTGTGCTTCCAACTATGAGTTCTTAAACCAAGAGTCTGCTGCGGAGACAAAGATCGCTGAGTTCCAACATCGGATTCCGTGGAAGCTACTGACGTCCGCGAATCCCGCGGTAGGGAGAACGCGTTGATGCACTTGACCTTCCATGTATCAAGAGTGCGATCCGACTTCACGCGAAAACGGCCGATCACCCCTGTGGAATTCTATGTTCGACCGAGTAGTAATCTTCCGCCATTGTCAATTTCGCGAGACAGCTTTATTCATGAGTCGGTTACATTCATTGGATACATACACATATCGAGCGTGAAGTCTCCGCGCCGCATAATCTATGCCGAAAAGATGGATTCCACAAAAAGAAAAAACGGGGAGAATGTTGTGTTGCGGCTCGCTCGGAGTTTTGAACTGCTCGGTGCAGACACTCGTCCCGTCGCTCGCCATATACCAAAAATAAAATCGCTTCCCGAGTTTTAGATCTCTAATGACGCGGATTTCTGTAAATCGGGTAGCAGAAAGCTAGCGGAACGGATCTTCGGATGCGTCTTCGCCCGTTACGCAATGAGTGTACAGATATACCTCCACATCCGAACAGAAAAACAAGCAAATGCCATAATTACCTCCACGATCGAAAGCGCTTCGCAGCACCGCATCACGTACTGGTGATGGCTAAATACGTAAGGTATTCTCTCTCAGGTTCTAGCCGTCAGTCTACTGGTAACGCGTGGTGAGGACCTCTTCAGAGATCGTGATTATGCATACCTGACCTGGGTTTCGACTTGGGCCGCTCTGTGACGACACAGGTTCTCCTCAAGGCCGCACTCCGTCGGTCTGAGTCAGTCGCCTTCGTGCCTGATTTGCATCCTCCATGTTCTATCTTTTCGGCTTCATTCGCCCTCTCCTAGGTCAGTGTAGACACTTCGCTTCTCTTCTGAAGTCTCCAAGAGCGATAGCGACCGTTGATCCAGCAGAAGTCTACGTCTTTGTGGGAGATCCCGACGGAAGGAGGAAAACCGAACAAGCGTCACCGAAGGGAGTGATTCACCGTTTTTACGCGGTCATGAAATTCACGGACAGACGCGAAGTCTCCCGTGAGGCTTGGTCCCTGGGGCCTCCGTCTACAGTACGAGTCGACCATCAATCATATCTTATTTCTATCCTTAAAACGATCAATCGCCTTTCCTGATGATCGACAAACTCTGTCACCATTGGGCCTCTGCGGGTCAATCGCTTCGTTGACTCAGAGACAATCATTCCAGGGAACGCAAGTCCCATTCAGAGATCACTCCCCCTCGGTCTCGACGAATGTGATTGAGCAAATTCAGATGATTCCCCCATCAATATACGATACTATTGAAATCGCGTCTGCTGCCACCGTGTTTCTTCCGCAGACGGGCATGGAATCCCCTCCGTAAACGGGACGATTCACTGGGGACGCCTGGTCAGCGGCGATCCATGATTAAAGAAAAGATCCATCTTCGTTTTCCGTGCTTTTTCGGCTATGAGTCTCGAGCCACAATGACGTCGCCAGGTATGATGATGTCGGTGTGGTTCTGAAAAATTTCTGTGTCGAATGAAGCGTGATCCGGGCTCTTACCAGAAGATCAACTTTCCTCAGCATCACTGTAACCGATATCCTCGCGCACTTAAGGCTAATTCTTCTAGCTGGTCGTTGTTTCAAAAATTATGTTCCTCCTGATTCCATGGTAGGCCTGCCCAGCAACAGAGCGCTTCTGCCGCCACCCTGAACTGCCTGTTCCGACTTAATTAATTTCTTGAACCTCGCTCCGAAGGGTCGTAGGAGGCTGATGAACTGCGACATACGAGTTTGTGTAAAAATCAAGAGCATCCTGTTTCCTGTTCCTCCGAGAGAACGCAGACTCTGCTTGTGGAGATCAATTTCTGCTTCCGCTCTCGAGGAGTGTATATTCCCACCGACCTGAGGGAAAGAGCACTCGATTATGCGCTTTCCCGGACTGACTTCATGGGATGATTCCTACACCAAACATCCGGACCCTCTTTGAATAGATGAGGGAATCGCGCAGTGTGGCTAAGGGATCTCGATCCAAGACTCTCGAACGAAAAAAATCACAATGGGGTATATCGGGTCAACTCTGGGATAAGCGAATCCGGTGCATCTGGGTATATGACATATTTATATACATATATGGTGCTCAGTGTGTCAACAGCGTAATTTCGGCATGCCTTGGCAACGGGTTGGTGGCTCCAGCGGAACCGACGATTCCCTAGATGAACCCCTCATGCAGGTCACCTGCAGACTGAGTCCGTCGCTATCTCGCGACCTCAGCTGACTCCTTGACGCCTCCCACGAGGCACCTGATACGGAAGATAAGACGGAAAAGGCGACGGAGAGTGACGTTCCCTGGTTTGGGTAGGGGAAATATACCGTCGGCTCACAGAGTACCAAAGGAAGGGAACAAGGATACAACAAAAAATACGGGAATCGGACCAGAAACGAGGAAAACCGAAACCGCGCTTTCCCCATTGACCAGACGATGCATCGCCATCGCTATCGAACACTCACCACTCTTTGTCCCTCCCAGTCAATTTCACGCAGGTTTTTACGCACGTGCGACATACTCAGAAGTGCAGAAGTTCTCCGAAGCTAGAGACCCAGTCCGATCTCGTCCGGAGGCTCGTGCGTTTACTTGCGATGTTCTAGTATCGAATGAGGCAAGGAGTGGGAGTCGCTGAAATTCGACGAGAGTCGAGGAGACTCGGACTGCTGTGAATCAATCATTATCTGACTTTCGTAATCCGAGTACAGTCGGTGTTCCACCGCGACGAATGAGTCACCCGAGCCACCATTGCCTGTGCGGACCAGATTCAGCTTATCGCTGCCGGTAAGAATTTCGTTCGATCGAATCGCCTCTCAGAATCGTTGACGGGTCTCTGACAGAGTTGTATCTGATAGATTTGTGGGTCCCGAAATTTCTAGAGAGGCCGAAGGGTGCGGCGGATCAAGGCGACCCTCGGTCATCCTCCATATCATGTTCCCTCTCATACCATCTTATTGGCATAGGCGGATTTTCTGGAGACTTAGTCAAAACTCGGTGTGTGTTCCATCACGTTGGCGTTTCGTCAAGGGGAACCGTGATGAATTCATGCATCTTCTGTTGGGGTTGGGAGATGATCATCTCCGAGAGGTCCGAAAACGGCGCTCCGAGTCTACCGCAATCTATCAGTGCTGATGGTCCTTTATGGAAGCGTTCTGTAGGATGTATAGGGCCAGGGAGGGACTTGATGTATCGTTTCTCAGACGCCCGACCGGCTCTGAAAGAGTGAGCCTTCTACGCTTCTTCATTCATTCCAAGTCAAGCTAAATAATTCTGATTGCAGTCGAGTCCAATAATTCACACGAGATTCTTCACGTAATCGGGGGCAATACTGATGTACTCAATCATGGAGGATCGTAGAAGATTGAACAACGAGCCAACGCGCAGTGAGGCCGAATCGCGTTCCGGGGGGGAATGTGTCCGTGCGGGATATCGATTCCCTTTCAAAATATCGTCTTCTTTCGGAACTCAGGTAACATGAGACTTGAGCCGTCTTTCTAACAATATCTGTTAGTAATGGCGACAGCGTCGCGCCACGCCTCCTCTACGGAGCCGGAAGTGGACGAAAAGCTTCCGAGGGTCTCCGATTCTCGACTCGACAACCTCGAGCTGATTGCGCGGAAGAAAATTTAGTGAGCCATCTCAGTGAAGGCCAGACGATCTTGTAAGTTTTTTCCTTCGATTACTTTTGCTTTCGGACCATATTCCGGTTGAAACGGTCGATTCCTCGACTCTCGGGTCGAAGTTAGGCCGCAAATGAGTGTGAGTTGTCTTGCTTCGAGTCCACGATATTCGAAAAATAGCCCCTGTCGTTGGAGCATTGAGACCTGGATTATCCTCTGCAAAATTACCGGCACCCGGATTTTCCCGCTTCTCAGATAGGAAATCCTGGATCCAAGAAATCGAAACATGACGCTTCCGAGTTTTCTTATGAATTCTGTTGCTTTGGATTCCCCGGCGACATCATGAGCGTTCATGATTACGTTCTATCCGTTTCTGTACAATGACACATATGAATATAGTTCGCAGCGGAATCAGATAAACTTCGGAGCGTGGCGAACGCTAAACCAGATAAAGAGCCTGATTGATGTATAGTACAGCAGCGCCTCCGTTTCGTTCCGGGAATCTTGAGGTCGATGTCGGGATTTCTCATAATAAGTCTGACTCACTGACACATAGCATCGAGCTCTTCGTACGGAGTTCGAAAGGTCCTGTTCGCAGAAATTGTTGTTGAGCCAGGAATCAACAGACCGAGAAAGCCCTCTCGAGCCATTTCCCTTTGCTTCGCGTCGAGGAGTAGCGACTTCATGGGCGTCAAAAAATTCGAGCGAGATCTATTCGATGTCAGCAGAATCTGCTCATGCAGGTGCCTAGCAGCAGCTTTCTCGCTTATTCCCTGAGGGAGTCAGAAAGGGCGAGAACAGGTCCCCGTTCGAGCCCATGGGATGCTTGGGTCGGTGTCACTCGATTCATGGGATGCCGCAAAGTAGGGCTCAGGTACTCTGGGGGCAAGATGTCCGAACCTCGAGACGGAGCCGATTCGACACACAGCAAGAAATGTCCCCCGCCTCTATCAGCCCTCGAGAGCGTCTGTGGAGGGAACATCTGGAATAAGCGGCAAGGGGAGAGAATCCGCGTGTCAAAAGAAATCAGGCTCTGGAAAAGATCGTTTTCGGTCGCACGTCAGAAGCGACATGGAGCCTCTGAGAAGCACAAACAAGTCGAAAACACGGGATCGGGTTGAGAGCAAGAAGAAACCGTGAGCCGATAAGTCAGAGAGATAATGATGCACATCGATCCAGCGGGCGAGTCAGACGAAGTCAAGCAATTCGAGGATGCTCAGAACAGCACCGAAGTCGGCGCCGATCGCTATGACGTCGGCATAGACGTGGATCGGTCGTGGACGAGTTCCAGCGGCGTCCGTTTCTGTGGCTTCCGATGATTTTCTGCGGACTTCATCTGTTGAGCAAATCTGTCTGCTCTTTCGCCCGCTTCCCTGCATGCCTTCTTGTTCACTCGCTCCTCCGCTCGCTCACTTGCTCGCACAAATCCATCGGCGGGAGAAAAATCGAAGAACAAGACGAAGAAGACGAAATCGAGGTAGGAGAGAATCCATCAGAAGATTTTTAGAAACACGCACATCCAGTGCTCACAATCACTGGAGCCGACTCATTCACTCCACATCGCGCACAGCTGGCCGGCTCGTGAGCGCGCGGTAGTGTACGGCAGAGTGCTCGACTGGGATTTGTGTGCTGTGCTTTCGGTCATTCGTTCGTCGTCCGTGCGTCGGTGTGTATGATTCTTCGCGCTGGATGCGCTCTCTTCTGCCCTTGTGAGTTCAGCCAGAAGTGAACTGTGAGTCTGACGGCTGGAACGAGTGGACATCGACAGCGGTAGCCCTCCACTGCCGTCAAACACCATGCATTTCGTGAGAAGCGTCATGTCGTAGGAGGATCTAGACAGCGAGCCGATGATTTGTTGACACCGAATCCGGCAAACGTCCATCGAGGAAAGAACTTGAGGATACTCTCTGAAGGATTAAGGTGACACACGCTGTCCGCGAGATGTTCGAAGCCGCGCGGAAGAAGCCGAATGTTAGGAAAATGCCGAGAGGTCGGAGGGATTCTCAACCGGTGCTGGAGCTCCACCCTCAACGTCAAGCGGCGGAAACACTGGTGAGCTTTAGGAACGAAGAAAAAATTCTATCAGACTCGACATGCCTGCTTCGTAGGCTCCGTTCGGTCTCTGACGCCGAAGGAACTTGAAATGCACTCCGGTGTTTTTTCGCTTTTCGGTCCCGCATGAGAAAAATCATCCACTATCGTGTTTTTTTTGCGGCTGGATGTCTGCGAAAAAAATTGATGGGCTCGAAAAACTTCTTCCTCTCATCTTGCACTCTCATATTGAAATTGCACCTCTGACGCATGATGTCAGTGGCGGCGTATCGTCCGGAAGACGGCGCTGATGGGATCGTACGCTGCCGGATCGTCTCCCGAAGCGATTCGCGATTCATCTAAGTAAGATTTATCTCTATTTATTTATCTCGGCTCAAAGTGTTTTTTTTCCTCTATGAAGCTTGAGAAAGCGTGATAATTAATCGCATCGGGCGGAAACGCGTACAGGTACTCAGAGGGCGAATCAAAAAATTTAATCTGAGTAGTCTCCCCTGAGAACACACTCAAGTGACCGAGAAGGTTTCACGGCGCAAGGCTCCCAATTTCGGACATATCTCCAGTAATCTCAGCTCACGCAATACACGTGAAGATTAGGATGTCGCCAGAATCGTGGGCGATCAACACGCAGGTCTTCCACTGTTCCAAATCGCGTCCGTCGACTCCAGAATTGTTTGCGACTGGATCGAACGTACGATGGAGGGCAGGATACGACTAACAAAGTTGCGGCAACGATCGGACCATTGCAGAGCTCGACGATTCTCGTTCGGACAACAGAAACGGATTAGGCTGATCATGAGATATGCGGAGAATAATGTTTTGTCGGAACACAGACGGGCGGCGCAGAGAGGTTGTGACGAAGCAGACAACGAAACAGCGTCTGAAGTTCAATTGTGCATATTATCTTCCATCCGAGAAGCATCGCTCCCATGCGCGCTGATTATGGAGCTGATAAAGTTCCAGGTGTTCTCCGCGCTTCTTGATGAGCATGACGTGCATCATCGTCGTTTTTCCAGAATGGGCTTCGGTTCTCCCATCACAAGCTCCGCGCTGTGACTCAGCTCTAATTCTCGTAAATACACATCCGTTCCATGAGAACCGGTTTTTGCGATTCTGGACCTGTTTTCTGATCCCAGTCAGACGGTTCGGAAAAAAACCGCTGAAGAGTACCGATTTACTGAACCCCTGAATGTCGTTCTTGGCCGGAGATCGTCGCCACACTTCACCCGGAGCGCCGGTGTTTACAGCGCGGAGCGCAGTCGATGCTCGCTGAATCAGGGAATTCCTCAACATTTTCGGATAATGGTGGAACGGAAGAAGATATACCCCGCGTGAAGTCCAGGGAATACCGTATTTCGGTCACATACTTCCAGGTCACAGCAGTGCGTACTGTCCCGAATCGCTCGGTCCTGTCCGGCCGCGAGAGGGATGAAACTGGAAGGGGTCGAAAAATTTCTCGGTGCAGGGATTCCCCCACCAGAATTTTCATTAAGAAGTCCTCACCGCATTTTCTCGATCAGAGCTTGCCCAGAAGTCAGAAGGAGAAGACCAAGAATCGGGGAGAGATACAACTTGCAGCAGAGTGGAACCGTCAAGCTTCTGGATCTTTTCCTTGAATGGAGAATCATCTCGTAAGCTCGGCATTCAATTAAGGGGCCGTTCTCCCCTTCCAGAGCTAGGGAACTAGTGGTGTGAAGTTCCAATATGTCGCTGACCGGGTGGCTTGAGGACACAACGCTCTCGACCGGGCGAGTGCGTTCCGTTTCCGCCGGATGACCTTACGAATGACCCGAATTTTGTGAGAGGTCGCGGAGCTTCCCGTGTGCCCATTGTATATTTCTTCAGTCCACCGGACGAATGACTCGCCCATTTCCAAGCAGGATGCAGCTTTCAGAAAGACGGTAATTGCGGCCTCGGTCTTCTTACAGAGGAGGAAAACTCTCTGTACGAAAGACTGGGTTCTTCATCTGACATCATCTCGGATGAGATGCTGCAAAGTCTCGTCCGATTTGACATCGTCGGATGGATCATCGCAGGCTCTGTCGCTCTCAGTTTCTCCATCGCGCTCCTCCTGTAAGATTTGAGGGTTTCGCGGTCGGCCACAACGGCAAGTAAATATTCTTCCATCCTTTCCTCTCACCGAGGAATGACGCGTGCATAAGTTTCTGCCTATCGACTCCGTTTTGGCGACTCAGCCAACCAGTAGGTAGTTCGGCTATCGGGCTGGTCCCCTTCCCCCCTATAGTCGACTCGGTTTGTTATAGCTGAGAGAGTGAGTACTGGAAACTTTAAGGTTATATTAAGTGAAGTGTCCTGGGTTCCTCCGAATAGAGCTGAGACCGGCACTACGAGCAGTATGTGGAGCCGATCCGCCGACGAACTCGATATTTTCGTGACAGTTTTGTGGAAGTGCTTGTCAGACGCGTCTTAGAGACGAACAGAATTTCAATACAGGCCACCCAGCTCCCTCGAAGCTACGATGAGACGCTAAAGTCGCTCTCCGATGGAAAACCGGTAATTAACCACAAATTCCTTATGGATCAACACTTCAATAGAGTAATTTCGTGCCTAAGTAGCTATGAGGTTTCATGCGAGACGAGGTCCGCGGCCCCTGCATAGCGCGCGACAGCGGAGATTGACAAGCGGAACGATCACAGCATGAGCAGGAACGTGTGCGGGACGAACGCGCTCAGTGAAGGCGCCAATAAGAGCAGCGTTCACGAATGTGAGCGGATAATCGTTTCCTGTAGACCATTAGTCGTATAGAGTCTCGAGAGCTTCCGATCATCCACCAGAGATGTTGAGTAACTCTCAGGTCTGGCCGCTCAGCCGACGAAATGCCTTCCGCAGATAAGCGGTGTCGTGATCACATACCAACGTATACGCCTGATGCCAATAAGACCGTTGATCCACCTCGGATTCGATTCGCTGAATTTCTGGCTACCTGAATGTCGCAGCTCGCTTATTCATGAGCTTCAGTCACTCGACGGGTTCAGATATACTGCAAGATTTCCGTCTCTCTAGAAATTCAGACACCGTGTCTCTATGCAGCTACCGAGCGAGCGTGTTTATTTAGATCGGCTCCATGTTTTATTTTTGAAAATGGCTGCCGGAAAACTGTATTACGATACGTTACGTAGACTCATCGACGTCGTCGGCAGACCTTGATGCCAGGCCGTCGACAACGACCACGACGACACAATCGCGACGGACGGGTTCGCCGACGGAAAACGTCTTTTGATCCGAAGCCCGCTTCCGTTGTTGTGAATTCGCCGCCAGCCCATTGCAGAAGAATATTCTAAGGGAGCAATTGGAAGATGTTCCCGAAGCTCATTAAAATGACGAATGATTGCGTCGTCAACGAGAATAGTCTCGGTGACGTAGATTCTATGGAAAAAGTCTTTTGGAGACGCATCATTGGAAAATACCTCAAACCCTCCTCAGGAATTTCCGATAGGGCTCAATCGCCGACAATCGTTTTCAACCCCAGAACGAATCGGATCGAAATGGATCCATTGTTCCATTCATTGGTCCTAGCTTTGATCGCTCCGCGAGAATGACCTAACAAGCTCCACTGAGGAAGTTTTTTTGTGAAATTATGCGCGCAACTTACGTTCAGAAAACTTGATCGGCTGAAAAATACTGGACGTACCGGACTGAAGACAAATGCAAGGCATTCGCTATGGTTGATCTGTCGTGGGAAATTCCGCTCGACCATTGGCTGTCATACATAAGTGATAGATCCATTCCGGGATGGAAAATCATGGCAGTTTTAGACAGCATTCAGGTAATCGTTCATCGATTCTACAGGAGAGACTATGTCGTCGAGAACTCCTCCCATGAAGGCACGCGAATGTCGAAAGATGCATCGTTCGAATTGCGATAAATTGGTCATTCTCCCAAATAATTCCCAGAGTCGGGCCCTAAGGATCGGTGATGGATAGAATCTCTATTTCGTTCGATCGACGACTTGATCGTTGGGCGAAATCGTCCGATTCGTTGGCAAGCGAGATTGAGCCTCACAGTACTCGATGCTTGAGTTCAAGCATGCTCCGTGTCTGGGGCTGACTGAGTGAATGAATGCCTACACGAGGGATTGAACATGGGCGGAATATTCATCGTTTTTCCGTTCCGTGCTCTCATGATTCGCTGCTCTCTGTGCGGATACGCTGGATTCATGCCGCGCTAATATTCCAATGCGGGTTTATAATCGCCTTGAACGACACCTGTATGTCAATACGGCGTCCATCGATGGGAATCGGAAAGTCACTCGGTCGAGGAAAATGGTTTCACTCGAACCCCGACTTACGAGCTCAAATAATTTGAGCGGACCTTAAGTAAATCGAATCGGAATTCACTTCAGAAACCCTAGCTAAGGATGATACCTAATCCGTTCCGAACAAAGAGAGGCCCCGCCGGAATCGATGCAATGTCGATGATACACGGCTTAATCCGTTCAGGGTTTCTCGCTTCGAATCAGGAAATCCATCCGAACCTACAAATGCTATCATACATGCTTGCCGGTTTTGTTTTCCGATTATCGCTCGCAAAGAATTCGATGGGCCGATTCCACTGAATGTACCTTCCATACTTTCTCTGATAGAAATCCCTGACCGAGCAGAAAAAGGTTCGCAGGTCTCCATCAATTTACCATAAATACCTATGGCCGCCCTTTCGACGCTTTCCCATCGAAAGTACCTATTTAGGTTGTTCCGCGCCTAAGTAGCCTTTCTGAGCCACCTAGAAGCTGAATTCCGGGGAAATTTAGGGTCTACGAACGGATTCGGCGAAGAATAGGGTCGGCGAATCCATGCTCTAGGAGCACATCTTGCTCCTGATAGAATCCGACACTCCGCCTAGACGTCAATTTTTTTCCTCGATAATGCTACCTACCAGACCGGCCTCGATCACTAACCGATGGGACTCCGGAAGACCACGTAGATTCCTCATCAAACGGCACTGGCGAACGGTTTGACGCGGCGTTTGACCTGCCTATCACGCCTGTGTCGCCTAGTTTCGGCGCCCATTCCAGGGTATTTCAGTGTCTCTTCGTCTGCCACTTTCGGCATTTTTCAGTGCCTGATCTCCCGAGCTCTAAACATAACATAACATAACATAACATAACATAACATAACATAACATAACATAACATAACATAACATAACATAACATAACATAACATAACATAACATAACATAACATAACATAACATAACATAACATAACATAACATAACATAACATAACATAACATAACATAACGTAAATGGTCAAATGCTCAAATAAATCTATATATATAAGGCCTGGCTTGACTGTTTCGAGAGGCGGAAGACCGGAGTATTACCTCAAAGCCAAGACGAGATGCGGAATCGATATAACTTAGATTTTCTTCTTCCACAGCTGGCCGTGCCTCTCCTCATCGGAAGAAATGTGTCGTGCCCTGACCTCACTCAGGAGTTCGAGAAGGAACTCCAGCTCGAGGAAATGAATAAATTGGCGAACACTAGGCATTTGCAACCCCCGACGCTGAACACAGACTTCGGCTCGATGGAAAGTTTCATCAACTCGGATGATGAAACTATTTCATCCTTCTCCATAAAGGACTTCAGCAGAAGCTCTTCCGGTGAGTTCTCACGGAAGGATCATGGCTAGGCTAGTCGTTGCGATCAGAAGCTAGGAATTGAGCTCGAGATATCTGTTCTCGGCCATGCCGTTTAGATAGATGCTTCCCGCCGATTCCTCCTGGAGTAAGTCGGAGACACGAGCTGATTCCGCAATCTCCTTCCCGAAAAATTCCAATTAGCTTGAAACGAAAAGTCTTTAGCGGAGATCCTAAAGTCCCATTGCCGGGGTGACACGCCTTCACACTCGAGCAAGGTCGAGGTGCTCAGTGGGTAAGCCAGTGAGAGGAGAGAGTCTCCGAGTATTACTCATCCCTGTCGCGGCCAAACGGAAGCACACTTTTCGCCGATTCAAAAACGGCTCCGCGAATCGTGATGACGACGGTGGGATGCAGTCCAATGGATACATACATTTGCGTCAAGCTCGTAAGTTATTTCGAAAAGGCCTTTCTTGATCGGCGACGAACGACTCCCGGAGCTCCGCGAACATCAGGAACATTTTTGATGGCGAAGCCTGGTGTTTGGGAACCTCCTGGAATCGAGCCCCAACGTCGGATAGCCCCGAGGGCCATCCCATGCTTCCGCGGAGCGATGAGCACTTTCTCAGCGCGAACATCACCGGGATCGACTCGTTCCCGATGTATTGTTTCTCGAAGAGCCTGGTTTGGGCAATATTAGGACCCGCGAATGTATTTCTCAAGCTGCGGCGTAAATCGGCGCCCGAGGCGAAAATCGGGGATTGCGCTCCTTCTCAAGATTTGCATCTCTGAGTTTCATTTCACATGCGCATCCCTCTAGAAACGTGCTGTTATCCACATGGTCGGGTTGGGCTTATCAATCCCCATATTCTGACGGTTGCTTCATCGACAGTCCTCTTGAGGTAATCGCCTCTCGACGATAATCGAGGAGAAAGTTCAACGCTATGTAGCGTCGGATGTCCGCTAAGCTCAATTAAGGCTGGCGATGCTCTTGAATCAGCCAAGTTTATGTAGTTGAGTGAGTTTTCCGGGTTGAGTCGCGCAGATTTTGCGGACGGGCCACATCGCATAAGATTTCTGTTTTTCGTCAGGCGGTCGTTCGTCACGGCTGTCGCGTAGATATTCACACACTTTCCGTCATTCGGCGTAATGGAAGGCGATGTAGAGATCGTTTAGAAATGCCTCGAAACTATGTCGGATACAGAATCATCGAGCATGAAAGCAAATACCGAAGCCTCGTCTTGAGATTGTGGCTTTCTTACAGAGTTAAGTATCCGCAAACTCGGCAATGAGAACGCTGCTCTTAGAACGTCCTTCCGCGGGCGGCGAGGTTCGCAGCCAAACGCGATTCCTCAACAGTCATCACCACCGAGGATTACCGTCAGCGATCACTCAGTTTTCCACAATGAGCGGGGCATTGATATCATCGACACGAACTCGGCGAACCATGCAAAGCTCGTAAGTACCACAGTTTCAGAGGTGTACGTCCCGGGCCCTCCGTCCACACATCATTTGGGGTCCATACGGAGAAACCGATAGTAAATCCCCCGTCAACTCTCGTTTCGACCTCTAGCTTTGGAAGCTCAGCAAGCTCGCGAAGAGATGGTTCAATCAGCTCAAAGAAGACTTCTCCGAAATCAGACCCTTCGAGATCAAGGATCGACCTCTGTTCGAGTACGAAGACTCGTTTTCGATCAAATAGTGAGTCCTCGCCTCTCATTGGAAGTTTTCATTGGGAGATGTTCCTTACGAAATTCTGTGGGGCTCACAATGCATCTTCCACCGGCCGCTTTTCCCCGCTGAGAAAAACAATGCATCACGAGTATCCGCTGGAGCTTCTGATTTGTGGGAAAGAAAAGCAGGGATTCGAGACGACGCGATCGCGACTGGTTTGAATTATTGTCTGAATTTGACTTTTCAGCACAACGGACGCACTCAACCGTTTCGGTAAGTGGCCTTGGATCACGTCAGGACGAAACAGAATAGTCTCTCTCTCACACTGCGCTACCACTACACCACGAAGCGACGTACGGCTGTACGAGACCACAACCCCGCCTAAACGGGATTCCTGGCTGTAACGGGAGCCAGCAGGCCATTCTCCTATAGAGACGATTTCTTCACTTTTCGGGATTACCAATCAATCTTTGAAGTATGATTCGAATGCTCCGATGCTGAATCTGACCTCCCGGCCTTGACAGAGGACGCGGGGACAGTAAAGACCCGTAGAATCACTGCGCACATGGTTGCACCCAATAACCTTGGGGTTTCGATCCCCAAGGCCTGACCTAGGACGTACGGCTCTCACGTCTGATGAATGCTCTATCGCGTTCATTCGTGGACCTTCCCACTCCTATGCTCTCTCAGCAACATTATGTCGATAGTGGATGGAGGCCACCACTGAAAGAATCCCTGAGTACCTGGAAAGGATGAGTCGGATGCCGAGAAAACGAGCTCGCTGGTCAGAAAATCGGTTTTCTGGGAGAGGATTCCCAATATGGGATTTGGGTCCTGACGTTGGGGAAGCCTCGGTCGGAATCATCACGAGCGGAGATGCTCAGCGGATCACTGAGGACCAACGTTGACAATATCGGAGACGAAAACTGTGAAGCTCCTCGTTTTGTTTCAGATGATATTTTTGCTGCGCTCGTCGACGGCCCCTTGAGAGATGGCTACAACGAGTATTTAAAGATCACGCAGTGGGTGCTGCCCATCCAGACGATGTTGACGCTCCTCGTTCTGCTGCACTCGCTCTGGACGGAATACATAGTCACACTGATTCTAATCGCCGTAGCCGTATCGTTGATACGGAACTATCTCATTGAAAAGGGTTGGATCTTCGAGAAGGACCGACTCAGCTTCGAGGCCAGGCGGCGGCCGAATGCCGTTCGCTTGACAAATCTTCTCCAGCTAAATATGAGGGTTACAGTAAGTAAAAAATAATCAAGCCTATTCGAACTCCGGGATGAAAACTGACAATCGGGGAGCGTGGCAAAATGGGCGGATCGATTCACCATGCAGAAACCTTTGGATGTTCGTTCGTATACAGAAGTTTTGGAGGATGGAGATGATCGTATTAGCAAGAAAAGTAGAAAAAGCGCTCCACGGAATTTCGAGCAGCCGTCGTAGAAGTTTCCCGAGAATTGAGTTTTCATTCCGATTATATGCTTATGCCTCAGGGGATCTGTTTGCCTCGACAACCTGTCTCATGGAGTTCCTGACCTCCTGACAGCGAGACGGGGATCATCCAGCATCGAACGGCTACTAGACTGACCCGATTTTCTTTTCTAAATATAGAGGTCTATTGATTCGTTCGTTGGTCGGCCCATCTTCTCTACCTGTCCTCCAGACTTCCATCTGTGTCTGGGCATCTCCATGAAGCATATCATTTTCTGATAATCACCTCCGATCAGGGCGCTCCTGGCATGAAATTCGGCAGGATTGCTAGCACAAATCGGCGGCCGTTCCCGTCGAAATTCTTGCTCCCCGATGCGTTAGAAATGCTCCCGCGACTCAGAATACGAAACCGAAATGAGACCCAGAGGCTAACTGGAACTTCTCCTTCTCAATACTCAGGTGTCTCTACACATGCTAACGGACTGTATGGACAAGGTTTTGGCTTTATGGACCTGGAAGCGACCCACGATAACGGCTAGCCTCTTACTCGTATTGACGTTGAGCAGCGCGGTTTCGGTGTTCGTTCCAGCAGCGTTCCTCTGTAAATTCGCTGGAACGGCTCTCATCTTGAAGATCTTCATCCTAGATTACATATTCTTCCGTTTCCCGAGGGTTCGAGCGAAGTACGACCTGCTTTACATATGGTACAACGAGCTTCCCACAGGTGAGTGCTAGATGAGCTCCGAAATTTCCCATCACCACCAGATTCACGACATCGACCCTGCACGATGTGCAATATTAGGAGATGGAGAGATATCACAGATCTCGCTGATCGCGGGTCTGAATCCATGCTCCTGGTTCTGTCAGCCCGAAAGACTAGGCAGGAGATGTTTCTCCCCCCTCCCGTGAATATGAGGAACATGACTCCCAAGTATCAGGAAACGTCAGCGGACGTTCTTTACATGTACGGCTCATCGCCATCCAGCTCGGCTACCCTAATGAATCACCGAGACGTTCCAACTGCAATTATCTAGGACAGCATGTGGTGAGCATTGGACAGGCACGACGACCGATCACAAGCGGACTTAATGATGTAGTGATCGGTTCGATCTTGAGCATGGGATGTTTTTATTCTCATGTCCATTACTCGTCAAGAGATATCTGGAATCATTCCTGACATTCGGGTCTGTACAATTATATGTGTACATGCATCGGAATTCTTTATACATACGCATGCGCAGTGGCGTACTGTGGCAAAGTGGCGCCCGGGGCGGATCTCGAGAATGGCACTTCTTGTCGAGAATTCCCTCCCCGAATTCCTCCTGAAGCGGAATCCTCCTGGAAACTTGCGTGTGCCCGCTTGCCCCGAGCGGGAACGGCACCCAGAAGATTGCGTCCTCGAATCCTATTTAGAAGGCGATTAATATACGGGAGCTCCGGGAGTTTTGTCGTTGCCACCACCGAAAACGGCGCCCCTGAGATTGGTTGGTTGTGCCGCTGCGCATGCGGAGGCAATAGAACCTTTCAGCGTGTAACATTCTGAGGGAACAAGTGCGCAGAGATCGAAAATCAACAGAGTAGTATCTTGTTCACAGGGAACGTTGTTTTTCCTGCCAGAACTTCGTAACGAACTCGATTCTTGTAAATGTCCGCAGCTATCCGATTGGTTTTCTTCCTTTTCTCCAAGCTGTTCTGCTTCTTGGGCTTCTGTTTCTTCCGGCCATTGCTGCAGTGGCGACCGCCGTCCGAGCCGAGCAGGATCTTGCTCTTGTCTAATTTGAGCTTCTGGTGCGGCGGTAACAGACTGACATACTGCTCGAAAATTTTATCCCGATCGTAACGTTGCGTCTTGATGTGAGCAACTTTTTCGAGTCGCGATCTGGATCGTCTCTTGACGCCCTTACAATGAACGTCAAAAGCCTCTTGCAGGGTCATGTGGTGTCGAGGTTGTGCGCTGTTCAAAAGAATTTCCCAAGCGATTCCGCGTTCCTCCGAACGCGATCGTGGGATTGGCGCGACGTTCTGGTCCGAAACTGTCGTTTCGCGATCGGGTCTGTCTTCTTTCCCGAACTTCAGGACTTCTGTCAGAGGCTCGTCATGCCCGACGCCTTTGTCGCTCGTGTCGGGCATGGAATCTTCCGAAGAGTAGTCCATGGTGTTATCCTCGAGAGAGCCGCCTCGTGGTCGACGTCTGAACTGTTTAAAAATATTCGTTCGCTGCTCTGCTGTCCTACACTCGGCGAAAAGCGGAACGGTGCGACTCGGGAACTGCGAAGCCATTTCCCACAGAACCCCAATGGGCTCGATGCGGAACATCGTCTGACTCTGAGAGTCCCTAAATAAAGGACCGGACACTTCGGAAACGACTTCCCTCTTCGAGCTGGTGTGAGAATTTATGTCGTTACAGCTCCAGCTCATTTTGAGAGCTTCCACCGGAGAAGCTCTTTTCAGCTTCAGAGAAGCCCCGTACAGCGATTGAGTCATTTCTGATGGCGGAGAGGAGCCGAGTCCGAGTGTTCTGGGTACTCGACGGCGCGAGCTCTGAACCTTCGTTTCCACCTCGGTCTCTGAGATCCTATTCAGTTCCTGCTTCGAGTTTTCCTGCGTAATTCCATTTGATGAGCCCTGGAATTCTCCTTCTGAAGATCTTCCGCTCACTTCGGCCAGGGCAGAAGGTCTTGCTTGATTGAGACGCGGAAGTTCTAGGAGGTTTCCATTCGGCTCTGAAGCCTCCGGCTCTGATTTCCGCGTATCTGAGGAGACGCCCGCTCGCAGTCCTCCATCCACCGCTGATTCCGTTGGATCAGTCGAACCTTCGAAACTCACGCTACTGAGGGCTTTGATAATTTCGTTGATGACTTTGGCCTTCGACTGGGCCGAACCGAGTTCACGACACGAGCTGGAGCTGATGGACGACACGCTGTCACTGCGAGTTAAACTATTCGGAGAGTTCAGTCCACTGGAGTCCCTCGCCGAGTCCACGCGTTCGGCCCGAATCTCAAAACACAGATGACAATTGGTGGGCACAATAATTTCCTCGTCCACACTGCTCTCAATCAGTTTGGTCGCTGCACATGACTCTCCCTCATTTGCATTGAGCTTGTCGAGGTTGTCCGGGATGATGTCCGTCGTTATCATGCTCGTTGCCGTCATGACGATTTCCTCGCTCGGAGAGAAAGTCATCGCGGACTTCAGGAGATTCACCTTCGTTTCCCGCTGCAGGGCGGATGCGGATTCAACTTCGGTACTGATGTCGTGAACGCTCTTGGATCTCCCGACAAGGGGCTTCTGATCTAGACGTCTGCGTCCTCTTGCCGTACCGATCGGCCGAACTTTCTGTTGGTAACAGATATTCTTGCTGAACAGTCTAGTCGGGAGCGATCTCACCCGACCAGGAATCGCACTGTCATCTCGAGTGATCTTCTCGATTCGATTCGGCGGCATGACTCGAGCTCGGATACTGCCATTGAGAATTTCACCAACTTCGAATATAGGTCGCTTGTATCTCTCCAGTCTGACGTCGTGATCCAAGCTCATCCAGTGGACAGAGGTGTCGTTCAACGGCGTCTGCGTAACGTTGTGAGACAGATCGTCGTCTGTTCTATCGTTGTCCATATTTGCCGAAGATTCTGCTTCCGTAAAGATCCAACTCGCTCACTTCCTGCGGCTGTCACTGGCTTGTTCGATTGGTGGACCAAGGGATTGTTCGGAAACTCCGAATTGTCACTTGCTCGGAATCATTGGCTGCTAGGTACTTCGACCAGAGTCCCCTCCAGAGCTGGACTGAGACCTCAGCCAGTCAGTCGACAAACTGGTCTCTAGTAAACACGAGCCCTCCGCTCAGAGCCCGCTGGCCTCTCTCAGCACGACAGTGCGTAAGTCGCGGCACCGCAGTCACTGTTCTGGGTTTATTTTTACCCTGAGTTCATCCTTACCAAACGGAAACGCAGACAGCTGGACACGGACGACAACGATAGCTCTCCCCGAGGATCCTTTGTCCGACCGTTATACTCTCTCGGCCTTCCAGGGAGGGAGATTCAGGCATAAATTCGAGAGTAGGCGAGCCCGCTCGCTCGAGCGAATCGTTTCGAAACGAGATATAAACCACCGAGCGGAGCTGCATTCGGAAAGAAACGAGAATGGGTACTCCGATCCCGTCAGTCCAGAACGTTCCGCCACGCGCAATTCCTTATAGAGGAAGAGTGCCTTCAGGAACCATATCCTGAGAAAACCAGGAAATTTGTCCAGACATCGAATTTCATGCGAAAAGAAGGTCGTCCAGTCAATGAGAGTGCATGCCGAGGATCATAATCTCGATCGGTACGCTTACGCCTGTTTTCTTCGAGCACCCAGGGCGTGAGGCGGTGAGGACGTTTGGAAAGGGTCGTGACACGAATCCTGTACTCAGTCAACGAGTCCACATAGCTTTGGTCGAGTTGAAACATCTACGGTGGTCGTAAGGGTTCTTTCACTGCGGAATTCCGCCATGAGAGTGAATTCACTGATTCCATCTTATCGGAACGAATGACGAACGAATTCCAGAACTTTTTCGGAACGAGTCGAATTATTCTCTCTGCAAAAAATCTTTCCAAGGAGCGATTCCAATCCGTCGCAATCGATTATTCATTATTGCTTGAATGGAATCAGTGGGAGCAGACCAATTCCCGGAAATCTCTCGACTCGAGAGCCTGGGCTATGGCATTGATGGCTACTCCGGTCTGACTTGATATCAAAAATCAGTCGGTTCCGACACTCGTCTATTCAATTGATTCCCCGAATCTCATAGTTCTGTCCTCGGGGCCCCGATTCTCGAGCCCAGGGTCGTCAAGCAGAAGCTAACCCTTGAGCAGGCCATCATGGATCTCTCATCGCATATAGGGGGCTCGGGAGAAAGGATCGCTTGCCAACATGTCCTCGACGAAGATACGTTAGTTTCGAGGTCGGAGGCGCTCTCGAGGTCGTCACGCGGCATCATACAGCTCTGTCAAGGTTTTCCCAAGGCCACATTCAGGACACAATCCGTGACTCTTTTTTTCCGTGGAGTGCTCATTGTCAACACCGATTCCGCATTCGCGCATACGTGGGGCGTGACACGAGCCATAAATCAGGGCCCTGACAGGATGTAATAGGTTCTCTACATGACGAAGCTCGATGGTTCGAGAGGAAGGGATGGGTAGTCGCCGACGACATGGAGGATCTCGGGTCAAGATCACGGCTTGTCTGATTCCTTTACCCGATCTGGCATCGCCTTCGTGTGCAACTACCCCACGATCGGGCGTACAAGATTCATGAGCTGTCCGCTGAAAGATGAATCCCAGGTTTCCCTCGCACCGACGGGTGGTCGAGTGGTTAGCGCGTTCGTCACTACTCGTGCAAACGTGCGTTTCACTTCGTGAAATGCCGCAACGACGCCGCTCGCGCGGGAGGCGGTGTGGGTTCGATCCCTGCTGCCGGAAAAATATGCAGGTACTCGTTAAACCTTGGCTGTGTGGATCAGCCCGAAAACGGGTTCCCTCGCAGGCAGAGGCGCGCACAGGCGTGGGGGGGGCAAGGGGGCCATGGCCCCTACCAAAATTCTTCGGTTTCAATGCTGAAGTATGGACCCCGAGAAGGCGCGTCATCATTTTTGGTCGTCTGGCCCCCTCCAAAACTCCAGTTGCCCCCCCCGGAAAAAAATCCTGTGCGCGCCCCTGCTCGCAGGTACCCTCCTCCGCCGTTACTGTTGTGGTAACGAGAAAAATCAGGGATTCGAGACTTCCATTACTCATCCTAAATTACTCGATTACCTATTTCTTCCGCCACGCTTAACGTGGCTAACAATGACACACATCCACCTCCGTGAGCGACTTGTCCCCTTCTGATCCCACGGCTGGCGAATGCGAGTGAAAGAGATCCGCGAGTGGTCGGAGTGTGGCGTCCGATCCGTGATGGAAATAATCCTAAGCCATGTCTTCCCCCTGCAGGCAAAGATCTGGAGCGTCAACAGAAGTTCCACAACTCATTGAAGCTCTCGAAAAGTTCCAACGATCTCAGTTCGATCCGATCATCCTTCGATCCATCGGTCCTCAGAAAGTTGGAAGAGAAACTGAGCAATCTTTTCGAGTTGAGTCATATTGAAAGGCTCGTGACCGGTTGGGAGCTCGGGAAGAGATGCACCATGATCAACAAGGAGAAGGCTCTCACCGGCGCGTTCAAGAGCGGAAGGATATTCCTAACGGAACAGCACTTGCTATTCATGAGGTTCGTATGAGGGAACACCGTCTGCATCCCGGATTCCTTTGGCGCTTCTTCCCTCGTCTCTCCCGACTCTGATCCCGGAGCATGCCCGGAATGAGCCGATCGTCTCATTGCGTTTTTTCTGAACAGGTACAAAACGCATTCGCCGAAGAACGTCGCCATCGCGTTCGAGCACATCCTCCGAGTGGAAAAATCCAAGCACTCTGGCTGGTTACCAGGCGACGCGCAAACGCTACAAATTTTCACCGATAATGGCGGCGTGTACACCCTCGGCGCCCTCGGTGACAGGGACGAGGTGTACCGTGAAATCTCCGAGCACGCCGCGCAGCATTCCTACAAACGAAAATTACGGCAACGCGCCGGGACCTGAAAGGATCGGAGACGTCGATGCTATATATGTAGGACCGTGCCGGGGTTCGACAGTCAGATGCCCATGCGCGGGCTGCATCAAGTCACCGGGCGATTTGTGAATATTTAGAATGTGATAGGTAACGATACATTTACTTCGAGCGAATCACTGTATTTGCAACAACTCTCAAATCTAGGTCTGTGATCAAGCGTCTGTAACCGGCCCTGTATCCGTCCCGGATGTGCCGTCGATGTAAATACACGATCCATATATCCATGGATTACAGCGATGAATTGAGTTTTTTCTTCGTTATCCAAAGGCTCTTATCATGATGAAAATTCTTGAACGTGAGGTGAGAATGCCTCCGAATGAGTTCCGGGGGCTCCAAGACCCATGGAAATCTGAAATTCTGACACCTTGGTTTCGGAGCGTCGAGCTTCTCAATAGCTGATGTAGTGAGGGAGAGACCGATTACTGAAGCCGCGGACGCATTCCGAGCTTTCCTAGAGGCGCTGGTTTTGATGTTCCGTCGATTCGAGGAAAATATCGGGTACATTTGTCGGAGAGGACAATGGAATGCAGACCTTGAGGTCCCAGGAGCTCAAGGCCAAGCTGGAGAGCGGATAGGGAAGACAATTTGGCGAGTAGCACAGGATCCGGCAGCCAGAAGATTGAGCAGGCGATGGAAGAAACTACGAGAGATTCGAGTAAACGCATGACGCAGTCGGCTCAAACCATGTTACCGAACGGCACCTTTATTAGAACTCGTTGACATTCATCTGATTCGATTTTGCTGCGAAAACACTCATCCGCAGACTCCGGTTTCCCGTCTCTAGTGAAAACGCCCACCAGGTCAGATTGAATCCCTCAATGATATGGAACTTCAATCGACCCACACCTTTTAGGTTCGCAGAGCAAACCTACGGATATTTCGTAATTTTAATCTATTTCGAAAAGTTTTCTTTCACGGTCAGCGTCCTCTTTCCCTATGAGCTCTCTCCCGCCGAATTGAGATTTCTAGTTCCCAGTCGGTTGCGAAGACGCCAACTGGGTCCTTGAGGTCGCTAATCACGAATCGCCATTCACTGATGTTCAGGGAGACTGCATCGACTATCACAAGCCCCTATGTACAGACAAGTCGTGCGACTCACGGAGTCGGACAGACCGTGGCATCATTCGACTTCCAACCCACGAAATTGTTCGCGTTGTATTTGACCAGCCAGTCATGGAGCGGTTGGAAATACCTCATAATGGGACGAGCGTCCATTTTGCCGGTTCTGCCCCCGGTAATGGCTCTGAGCGCTTCAGGCCAAGGACGAGACGAGCCCAATTTGAGCATATCACCCATGAGGGCTCCGGCTTTTTTCGACCGGTAAAAATCGCATTCGTGGAGGGGACCCCGATGGCCGGAAGCGTCACAGAGAGCTTCGTAGAACTGGAATTGCAGGATGTTTGCGACGAAATATCGGATGTAGGGAGTGCCTGAAGAGATGTGGTACTTCGAAGCAGGGTCGAAGTCCTCGTTGGTGCGACGGACTCCCGGACAGTATCCCGCGTACTCGAGGCTGTGAATAAATTCGCTCGATGTCAGGAGTTCCCTCATTCTTTCAAATTCTTAATCCTCGGAAGTTATCTATGTATACGTATATATCGATCGCTCGAAGCAACCGCGTTCATACTCACTGTAATTTCCACCATTCGTCGTTGAGTTTGGTTTTGTCGTACTTTCCACGATAGACGTTCCATCTGAAAAGGTCGAAGAAGTACGCCGACGGCAAAATCGCGATCTTGTCGGTGGCGATTTTCAGCAGATAATTGATCGTATCTTCCTCGGTCATCTCGCTTTCCTCGAGGAATCCGATGGCACGGAGATGTTTTGGCGTTGACACCGACAGTGCGAGTGTATCACCGACAGCCTCATGGAAGCCGGGATTGGCTCCGGCTTGGAAGTACGAGGGTTGCTCTCGGTACTGTAAATAGTACTCAACGTGGCCCATTTCGTGATGGGCGACGATCATGTCGCTCATTTTGATTGCGGTGCATTGCTTGATTCTGACGAGATCGGTTCCGCAGCCGTCCCAGGCGCTCGCATGACAAACGAGCTCGCGACCATCGTTAGGCTTCTCGAGTATGGATCGATTCCAAAACTCCTGAGGCATCGGTTTCAGTCCCAGTGAGGTGAAGAACTCTTCGGAGAGCTTGAAGATGTCCCTCGCCGTCATGTTTCTTTTGACCATTTTCTCGGTCACGTCCAATGTTGGTCGACCCTTGTATGGCTCAATGTTTTTGATCGCGATATGCTGTGCGTGGATATGGCCTGAAATCGGAGAGTGGTGATTTCGTTTTGCGTGATTCCGGCAGGGCGCCCGGCAAGAGTCGTAAACGCTTGCGAATCAAAATCGCTGGGAAAAGTTGCTGTCCTGCTCCCCAACCGCGCAAGGCCGCGAGGAGGGGCTGAAACATTCTTGGAACGCGGTGGTCGAATTTACTGACAGCAGTGGAACGGGCAACCGTCAACAATAGGGTTCTTTTTTCAGAGCACTGTGAGCAGGAACTATTAACGAAAATCCCGATAGGAATGCTCGGAGCGTGTCGCTACCTCCTGTACAGAAGATACCGATCGATATTTGTGGCTTCTATTCCCTGGACGAGAGTTTCCTCAGAATCCTCCGTCCCCGGTCCTACACCACTTTTTTGAGCATGTATTACGCTAAAAACATCGATCGACGTCTTCTCGACTCGACGCAGGAGCTTAGCGACGAATCCGAGGGAGGGCGATTCGCTGCCGCTCCTCTTTTGGCCTATTGCGATCGATCGAGTAGGAGATACGGCCCCTAAATCGCAAGAGTCTCCGAGAAACCGGAGCATTACTTCGTCTGGCGTGTGGATGGCGAGTTTCTGCCACTTATCATGGGACTCACCCAGAAGATGCGCGGGAATGGGGCCGTCCGGTCTAATTTTGCCGGGGTACTTTTCGATGAGTTTTGATCTGACGTATGCATGGAGTTGTTGATAGAGAGGAGTGAGAGTCCGCCACAGTTCCTCGAGGTCTTTCTCGAAATCAGGGGATTCCTCGGTGTATATGTCCAACAAGTCCTCAGTGAAGTCCTGTACACGCGGAGAAGCGGAAAAATCGCTGACTTAGAATCAGTCTCAGTTCTTCTCGATTCATGGCGTGCTTCCGTCGCATATCATTGCACCCTACCGGGCAAGCGTATCGACTGTCACCGGATTGACCGATGCGAGTATTCATATTCCCCGCGGGAATCGCTAGATTTATTCAGCAGAAAGATTCTCACTTTCAACCCGTTCGCACGAGATGCCTCATTGAGCATGTCGACCGATCGGATCCATTTTTCTTTGACAGGTTTTCCGGCCTTCTCTCGAAATTGCGACCAGACGTGGAGGAGCTCATCGTAATTGTTCGAGTTCTCGAGGATATTCTTGATCTCAGGCTCGAGACTCAGAGTGCAATCTTCAGGCTTGATATCGGCTTTGCCCGAGGCGTCGTACGGACAGACTTTTGCTTTCGCGTGATTGGCTTCCATCTCTTGGCGGAGCTGAATCAGTTCCGCCGCTTTCTCCTTGGGGAGAGCAGCGACACCAAGATTGGTGAGCTGTTTGAACACTCGGCGGAGATTCGCGTCGCGGAAATCCTTCCATTTGAACTTCAAAGCTTCACGACCTTTCTTGCCTCCGAACTCGACCTGCTTCTCCGCCCACTCAGCCTGGAACGACGAACGAAACCTTTCAATGATGCGAGGAAATTACAGGAAAATCGATGGGGCCTCATTGTGAACGAGCTCCCTTGACGAGAGAAGCGGAGGCTGACATCTCCGATTGCCTGTGAGACGCTCGGATTATTTACCGCTTTCTTGGCGTTGTAGTCGGTGATGTTACTCGCTTGGTTCCAGGCAGCCTCGGTGTTTGCCAAACACAGAGGCAGCTGATCGCGCTCATAAGCCTCTAACCATTGACGGGCCGATTCTTCGTCGGAGTTCCGGGTATCGTTGTTTTGTCCATTTTCACAGTCAGGCTGGGGAAAGAATATTCATTTTGAATTATTTTATCATTCATGACTTATTTTATTATTCCGTTTCGGATGAGTCGAGGATCTCTCCATTTCATCATCATGTACTGGAAGACGCTCATTGCGCACGAGGGATCCACGGAATAAGTAATTCAATCTCTCAGAAGGCTACGCGGCGAAATAGGTCGTGTGTCGCGTTCAGGCCGGGATCCATGTACGCGTCGTTTATAGAGATCGTTATGCTTATTCACCATCGTCCGACAAGAATGGACATGTTCGAATGGTCACGAAACTATAGTTCGAGATCAGAGATTAGCACCTAGTCGTTTGTCTTCCACGACCGTAACTGAGCGCGGTCTCGGAGCGACCGAACTTATGCAGCATGTCCGTCGGTGTGAATCGATTAGTCAGGTGATCGCAGGTCCGAATCATAATTCCCTTCCATCTATCCCATCCTTCTCGACTATTCATGAGAGCATCGGACGAACTAAGAGGAATAAATTCAGAAGTTTGAATTTCTTTCGCGGAGAGACCCACTCAATTCGACTCGAATCGCGCTGGATCGTGCGAAACCTCCACCGCGTTCCTCCTCAGGAGTTGATCTCTAAGCCTATCCCCCAGAGTCATTCCCCTGCCCAGTCCGCGAGGAACGTGATATCTAGTGCGAGCAATTATATTATCGGTCTCTGCGCGGAAATCCAATCTCACCTCCTACGGACTCATTGAGAAGCTCCGTCGAGTCTCGTTGTCAGAGGATTCGGCGGTCTTCAATCGACAAATCTGACATATATGTTCGCGCTCCTTTCATCTCCCCAAGGCAGAGGATGGATTCTTCCGCTCAGCGGACGCGAAGCTCCGAGGCCGGTGCTCCGTTCCGGTGCTCCCCTACGAAACCGAAATCCGGCATTCTGGTGACATTCTCGAACTGGACTCCTGTCGTTCATTGTCGTTCGATTCTTGTCCGATTATTATGCATCGTGTGTCAAGTGCAATGCATTTGATTATAATCGATGAAAACTACAGATCGTCGTCAGCGTCAATTGAGAGCTTCCAGTCGATTGAGGAATCGCTCGAGGTCGGCACCGTCGCTGATGAAAATGTCCGGGAGTTGGCGAACGGTGAAACCTCTTGCGTAAGAGAGACTACCCGCCAGCCAGCTACTCTCACTGTCGGACATCAATGACAAGATTCACTTGGCCGTTCATTCAGCTGTTCGCGTGACTTTCCGCCGGTTGCATCGCGCGGCCCTTTGTTGATTGCACGTCATGCCCAACCGCGTACCGCGCTTTTACGGAGCCAGAAAGCCATAGAAACAGGACTGGCCACGAGCGATCTCTAGATTATGGCCTCCTAAACAATCGAGTACTAATTTCGCTTCCTCACATGATCCAGTGAAGCTGGTCCAGCTCCAGACGCTCTCGAGAGGAATCCGACCCAATGCAAGAATCCCGACTCCAAGAACGTCGAGAAGAAGAGATTTACACGATATCCCGAATCGGGAGTCATCTGCGGAGTATTCCGGCTTCTCTCAACGTGCGTAGACACAGAAGAATGAGATTCATCTCGTGCTCCCTCGAGGAAGGATGATCGGGTTAGACCCCGCGAACCGACTCTGTGGCTCATCAAATAGGGAAGCTGACAGCTTCTGGAGTTTTTCTGTCACAGCAGGACTCCACAAGGAAGAGATCCTCTTTTTGAACACACCACAGGAGAGATCCGATCAATCAACGAGTCCGATCGGAATTTAGGATCCTGGCGCCGATGTTCATATGTACCTATCGATGTGTACCGAGAAAGATTGAGACAACTCATAAACGAAGTGTTCAACTCCGACAGCCTCACTGTTCCGTTACTCTGAACAGTACAACTTATCCATTTCCGACCCCTCGACTGGCAGATGATTAGAGTCTAACAGCCGAGACGGTCGTCGAGGGGATTCACTCACATTTGTCGAGGCTTTCTGCTCACGGATGCGGTTTCCTGAAGCACAAGTTCCCAACACAAGTACCACCAAGACGACGAACCGGCGACTCGTAGGCGCCAATGAGCAGCGCATCTCGAAACATTGGATTCGACGATCGTGTTCTGGTGTGGCTTTATAGACGGCGCCTCGGGGAGAGGGGAAAGGAACACTCGTCGCTGGTCGCGTCGAGCGATGCAAACGAAAGCAGCTTCAAACAAATAAATGCTCCGATCCGGATAAATAGACGGTGTTTGCTTGCTAGCTTTCCCACCGAAGTTTGTCTTGCTCGTTCGATCACTCCCGTGCGAGATGTTTTGTATAACATCGTGTTCCGCGTGACAAAATCCGGGCATTGCACCGTTGCATCCGTGTGGTCTATCTCTCCGGAACAATGATACTCAAGTTGCACATTCCAAGCGCAAGCGTCGAGATCGAGTGAGCTAGGGGTGATCGGAAGCTTTCCCTGACGCGGAAGATGTTCCCGAACAGTTTTTTCCCCCAGGGCTCCCTCTTGGTGGAGCTCCGAGAAATTAAGATTGTCCGGACTGCATCGGTCAGCCCAGGAGATTCAGTCATCATCGAAGAAGTATTGTACACGAACTCACCTGAGGCCTCTTCGGCCGAATCCAGGATATTCCGAGGTCAGAGGCTGCACATTATGTCGCTAAACGAGAGCGTATACTTAATCCATCATTCGCTCCAACCGCGCCTAAGCAGAAGTCAACCTCTCCAACTCGTGCACGGAAACTTGGACGCGCCTACGGCTTGACCATGCCACCGACAAGGCTCGACTTGAGGCCATCCGTCGATGCCGTCAACTGAAGCATCGCACTTTCGGACGCTGATCTGGACGAGTCGAAGGCAGACAGACCTCGCTGGAAAACATGAGGACACCTGCTCAGGAGTCTTGACGAAAGTTCAGTATTACGTTCTCTCGCGTCGATTCGAAGAAACTTGTCGAATGATCGGAGCGCTCATGGAAGATGAATGTGGTCTCGAGGGAATTCATCTGCGAAACGTCAGAAGAATCGCGGGGCCATCAAGACATTTCAGATAGTCCGGGGCTCCCCTCATAAACTCCTTGTGGAACCCCCAATGATAGCGAGTTGTAGCGAGCAGTGAAAAAACTGAAATCTACTACAATGCACCTGAGTTCCGCGAGGAGTATTGTCGATGACGGAGGGTCGCAGGCGGATGATCCCGGAGAGCCCAATGAGGAGGGATGCGAACATCAGGTGTCAACGAGAGGAAGGAGCTAGTGGAGTTCTGATACGCGTAAGCATGCGGATGATTGGCTTCCCGAGCGAGTATGATCTGGAGGCGAAGAAGCGGATCGAGGAGCTAGACCCGCGCTTTAGGTTTGCTGTGGGTCAATAAACTATCAAACACGAGGCACAAGGCTTTGTTGAAAGAAGCATTCGGATATGTATACCTTCTTCAGCAGAAGGATCTTTGAGAATGACGGAGCACCAACTGATCGCATGAGCAGGGGAATTATGCAATCGAAAAATAATATCCCGTGAGACCTGGAACCTTTAACAAGCACGTCTCGTCAGAAGGTCGCTCATGCTTCCTTCGACTCATATTTGCTTGGGGTCAACGCTCGAGCTATTCGTATCTAGACCCAACCCCAGGCTTCTGCTCGTCCCGGGGCTAAGCCTTTGGATGCAGCAGAAAAAATATCGGACTGTCGAAAATCTGTGGCATGAATCCTCGGCACGTCATATCCTGATGACATAAGTCCTTAGATTTCTCGCCTTCCACAGAACTCGGGAGCCGGAGCTCGCGATTCCATGGCAGCTCTGGCCTCATCCTGTCGCTGACAGCGATTCGAGACGGATAATAAAGAAAAAAATTCTCCTGAGCCTGTTTTGCCGTCATTGTCGAACCGGATCCGTTGTTTCATTCATCGGAACGAGTTCATTGACTTTTGCAAGAGCTTTCTCTTCCTCGTGAAGACCCGTTCTTCGCAGATACCGTCCGATGGGGGCGTTCGTTCCCTGGAAACCTGCCTCCTACACCTGTGGAACTATCTGTCCGCGACTTCCAAGCGTCGTCCGACTCCCGCCGTGCTTCCATCCAAATTTCGGATGGTAAAGATTTCCACATGATCTGACCAGACGATGGCTTTCATTCCCCAACACAGAACCGATCCCACTCGTTAGCTGCAGATGACTGAGATTCTCACCAGAACGCTTCTGCCAGAACCGGCTGGCAGGACACACAAAATATAAAAACACAGGATGATGACCCTTCCCTCCATGGATGAGAATGACGCTTGCATCTACACGTTGAAAGGGCTCTGTTATCCATGCAGGAGCCGGGCTCCGGAGAGTGGTGGAAAAACGAAGAAGCAACCGTTCCAACGAAAACCCGTGAGAATGTTCCACTTCTACGTATTCATCGAATAAATGGACTTGTTACTTCAGCGCGAGGAGGCTTCTCTAATCTGATCATGCTTCCATGGCTGACCAGAGTCGGATTCCCTGTAATGGAACACGAGGGCGACCAGCAGGTCATTTCTCGTTCAATTCTCGTGAAGAGCAGTCTCAAAAGTTTCCTCCGAAATCGAATCAGTGGCAAGTCACGCCAGCCATGCCCTGGAATGAAGACCGACAGCCTTATCGGGGAAAATTTCCTCGTCTAGAAAGGCCTTCTTCGAGGTTCTCAACTTTGATGATTAGAGTTTTCAGAATTCATCTGAACCATCGGATGTATTCTGATGTACGTCGATCATTCGATCGCGGTTCGTGTTCTTGACACAATGAGGCTACGACGATGTGCAAAATCAGTTTTCCTCTTGCGAAGCTCCCGCTTCGATCTGCTGATTGCTTAATACAACCAAGAAGCGCCGAATTTTCCACGATCAGTCTCTGTCTGAACAAGCACATTTCAATAAGATCGTATCACGAAAGTCGCTGACAGGGCTCAATTCTCGCATCCATTTAATTATTCACTCACGCATGCGAGGTCGGATCGCCTTAGTCGCTTCGGAATCACATCCTGAGTGGAACTCAAGTTTTTTTTTCTGGCAAGATACCGGAAGTCATTTGAATGAATTCGCATTCGACATCGGTTACGAGTCCTTTGGCATCCAAATCATATCGACGAGTACGGCGGATCCGTTTCTGACAGTCCTATGCGGAATCAAATTCCGATGGATTGTTTCCGTAGTTCGAGATCGTTCGACAGTGACGTCACAGTCGGCGTCAGCAGCCGCTGACCGAGAGGACTATGTGCACAAGAGATAAGAGATTGGGCCGAAAGGTGAGCGATGGACGCTTTTCTCCGACAGGATCTTCCCCCTCGAAATGTTGTGACTGATGGCTGATGAGTTGATGAGGATGAGCTTTCGATCTGCGCTACTGATATACTCCGGATCACCGATTCGTTTGCACTTCCTGGCGTCAGGATCCGTTTCTTGCGAAATTCATCGGCTTGGAAAGTCCTATTCTATCTGACGACCGCTTACAGACTTCGGAGGTATACTCCTGCCGGGGTCACTACTTCCCCATGGAACATTCGTACGGTTTCTCTCCCCTGTGCAGCCCCTCATGAGGAACGTGCGAGCACTCGGCAGTCGTCCCCAATAATTCGTCAAAGCGGGAAGCTTCCTTCCAGTATGTTCTGGCTGAAAAATCACTGGGACTTCGCTTGGAGCAGAGAATCACTTGGATTTTCTACAAGCATGACGTCTCCGTCTTGCGTGGGATGGTGCGTGGCTCAAGAGATGACTCTCCCTCTTGAATGTGGAAGATCTTTTTTCGAAGACTGAGTGTCGGAGCAGTTAGAGAACTGGCGGGAGCCGTGGAACATGCTTGAGGTTCTCTTCCGCTACCAAGTGTGGAGATGCGTCTCCAGACAACTCGCTGCGATAATCTTCCGTCATAAACCGATACGCGGACTTCTCCATATGTTCTTGTCGGATGGTGGGGGAAACGGGCCGTGCCATTGCCAACGCGAGGGTTCATTCATTCCCGAGCTCCCATTTGACCATTGGCACGGATTTATCCTTCCACGGCGATACAGAGAGCGAACAAATGCACCTACCGCTAGTTCCGGGCTCGATTTCTGGCTTTGACTTGAGTTCGAGCGCTCATAAGCAAGCTCGGTAGCGATCTCCGCTAGGCTGGGATGGCGCAAGGGACGGCTGCGTTCGAGAGCTTCCCACCCCATACGTCTATTTGTCTCCATTTTCTAGTTGTTTTTAAGTTCAAGAACACATTCTTCTTCTTACAGCGACGACGGGACTCAGAGGCAGCGGTCGACGGATGGAGAGTGGGGTTATTTGCAAATATCCAGTGTGAGATGCTTCGCTCACGACTTACCACACCTCAGAGTTCTTCACGACGCTACGAGCTTCCATGCCCTGGGAGAGGAATATTTATTGTATAAGGTCTCCACCGAGGAAAAATTGAGCAAGTCTTGAAAGTGACCCTTGTTCTGGTCGATCAGAATCAACTCGTCAGTGAGAAATGCGCTTCAACAAAATGTTGTACGTTTGATCGTTGGGCTTCCAAATACATCCGAGAAATGCATGGACTGGATTCATAGCAAGCTGGACGTATCTCGGGAGCTCCTCCGACTAGTTGCGCGTCAGCCCAAGCTCAAGTCCGGCTATTCTCAGAACGCTATCCGGAGACGGAAATACGATTGAGAGACCTTGGCGGAGCAACAGTGGGGAGACTCTCGAGTAACGATCCGCTTCAATCAGGACCATCGTTGCCGCGGGGTTGGATTTCGATTGGTACTTCTCCTTCAGGGGCTATGACGAAAATACATTTCACCGGGATTTGTTCCATGGGACTGGATATTTCGAATTTCTTGAGGAGTGATGCGACAGCAGAACACATCTCCAGCTCAGCGAAGTGGCGGCCTGGGCACATCCTAGCTCCGAAGCCGAACGGCAGGAGTGCGAAGGGGAACTGCGGTCTTCCGTCGAGCCAACGCTCCGGTATGAACTCTGACGCTCGATGGAACGTTTCCTAGAAGAGATCACGTTTATTGGTCTTGTTCTCGACTTTTTTTGCAAACAGCTCGAGTCGGTCAGATCACCATGTTCCTTGAATTCCGTAGGAATTGTGTTTCAATCGGATTCAAGCTCCTCAACTAGTCCGCCTCGTAGAAGGGGCACGATGCCCATGAGACTCACCTCGTTTCTACACGCTATCAAAGAATTGGCGAACACAGCTGTCCCCGCGGGCACATGGTAATCACAGAGCACGGTGTCTTCTGGTAGTACTCTCATCACTCCAGGCACCGTTGGCGAGATACGGAAGGTCTCCTTCATACACGCCTATCGGTTCAAAGAGCCTTCAATCATTTCCATTGCGAACGTTTTTGACAAGAAATCGAGAGTGATCAAGCAAGGAGAAGTCCGGAGCTATCGGCTCGACGGAGTTCCTCCCCGGTCTCACGAAAGCGAACAGATACGGTTCTACCGTGGGATACCAAGGATTTGGATGCTGACCTTCAGGTAGGGATCCGTTGCAGGAATCGGCGCGTTCCGGAGCGTCCGCACCAACTTGTCTTGGACCCTCTTATTTATTGCGATTTGGTGGATGAGGAAAGCCATCGACTGGGTTATCGTGAAAACACCCCCGACAATGAAATCCATTGCCGTCAACTGGACATCCTTCCAATCAAAATTCGGCAAAGTTGTCAGGGCTCTTAGAACACGGCTCTGTGATTCAGTTGCCGAAGCCTCTCTCAGAAAATCCTCGGTGATCCTGCAAGGGAAAAACAATGACATATATGAATGAATTGATCCCCGGGAGAGTATAAGTGTCACGTCTCCACTGCGCTGTCGACCCTCCGTAACTCCAGTAGCACCTGAGGGCGACTCTGTCCTCCGGAGGGTGGGGATTAGGGAGGTATCGGAATCGGGATTGCGATAAGGCTCAAAGTACAGCAAAATTATGGTATCCGCCAATCTCGTGGGTGGTGGAGAGAAATCTCTTGGAGATTTCCAGCATGATTCAATCGACTCAGGGAGCTTTCTGAAGGAGACAGTTATCCGATCACCTCCCGGGTTACTTAACCAGGAAACGGGGAGTCGGCAAGAGCATCACAATGGTTTCGACCAATCGGAAATGGATCGAAACTAATCAATCGCGTCATCTTACCTATAGACCGTTTCTTCCGCCTTGCAAAAATCGAGGTATGGTTTTGTTGGGACTTTTTTCCATAAGGGACTTCCATAGTATAACTTTTGATAACACTCGAAGAGGTCCTTGGTTGCCTGGACCATTTCTCTGGCTCGCGGATTACCTTCGAAGCATCCTAATCGCTTCTCCAGGCAAAGCGCGAATATCGCTGTGGAGGTAATGGAGAGCTTGTTTAGAAGAAGGACTAAGAACTCGGGCTCTCAGGGCCCTTTTCGTCCTCATTATACGAGATTGAGGTCAGGATTGACACGTTCCGAGTCTTTCAGACTCTTGGGTCAGAAGCCTCCCTGCAGAAACACGGTGCTCTCGCTCTGCGAAGCCATTCGGCTTGGTCTGTGAAGATGAAACGCCGCGGTATGGTTCTGTATCGTCAGTGCCCCCCGTTTTCCCCGCCGAGTGGTCTGGAAAATCTACTTGGTAGCCCTGCCTGTCGTTCTTCATGGATACAGCAGTTCGTTTCCGAGCTTAATTCCACAGCCGGCTTGCGGCGAAAGACAGCTTAAAGCACACGCGCAGTTTCCGCCATTGCATGATATTCGTCGGGGGAAGGTATCTGCAGGAATATTCCAATTAAGGCTGACCTTGATTGAACTTCCTGGAAGCCGAGGAGTAGCCCTCTGAGGGAAGGATATCCGCAGCTTTTGAGATGCTCGGAAGCAACAAAGGGGCTCCTTTTCTTCTCAAGCGGGTTTTTCTGACACGGCCTTGGAACGGATTCCAAGAGAAAGTCGGCGGGCAGTAGATTTCTGCGTCTGATGTTGAGCGATTTTCATCCCCACGATGAGAACTCGTTCTCTCGATTTTGCTCCCACTGTGCGCTTCCCGGGGGGCGCAGATCTTCGGACGTTTCATAATCACGGCATATGCGGAGGATCTCGTGCGATGTAGTAATTTGTGATTCAGTGGCGCGTCTCGTGAGGGTACGGAAGCAGGGCCTACGAAGCTCTGAATCACGCATCTGGAGTAGCCTCGATTAAGCTTCAAGGACTACACAGGGCTTCAAGTCCTACGTCGGGTAAAAACTTACACTCAAGAGCCAGCATATAGAGCAATTCTTGGATATCAGCGACGACGCCGTCCTGTGCGCTTTCTTGGAGATGGCGAACCCAGTCATCGCAAATTTCCGTCTGTATGTCCAGCATGTCCTGCAATTTAATCATGGACCGGTAAACGGAAGCCCTGAACATTTTTTCGGAAGCACCGAGGGAAACACCTCTGGCTCATGGATCAAGGATTGATCCAATGGCATGAAGTTCAGTAGGGGAATCATTGCAGGCCTAAAACTTGGGCAGGAAAACTGACCTTTGTGTGTATCGCGCTCATTTGCCGAAGAACCGGCGCGAGAGCGAGCCTCATGGAACGCCATTCCTCACCGAGAGCATTACTCAATCCCACTCCTGAGTATTTTTCGGGGTGCTCTCGCCGGTATTTGCAAACGAATTCGTTCGGAGGACGGATCGGACAAGATCCTTGAGATCTGGAGCAGAAAATTCGTATTGACCGCGCGCAGTCTCTCGGACGAATCGAAGGGATCGGTCGAATCACACCCGGATCGGGTCGGGCACCGTTGAAACGTCTGGGAAAGTTATTCACCTGAACAAAGCTGGAAAAGATTCCGCGTGGAAGAGATGCACGACAGGTCTCCGATACTGGTATTCTTCTTTACAGATTGGGCCGTACTTCAAGAGCTTGTGTTCGAAAGCTTTGTGTAGTTGGAAGAGATCCTGTTTCTGACCCCAATACTGCCAGTTGGTCCCGACCAAGGGGAACGACGGCCATGGTCCGGGAATCTCGCTGAACAACGATAGAGAAGAAATTTTTATCGTCAATCCGTGGGTTCGACCGTCTCTTTGCTTGTCAATCTCCTGTGCATTCATCGACACAAGATAGTTTCACGCTGGCGGTCGCGGGGATATATTCGAGCTGCTGCGTCGGGAAATTTCTCGTGACCCTCTTCAGATTGATTCGTAACCTAAGCTTCGTTCCGACACGACGGATCAAACTCGACACCCTTCTGTGCTTCCTCGTTTGGACTCTCCTTCCTCTCCTTCTCGGATTCGAGGTCGAAATGAAATTCGAAGCTCAGTTTTGATTGACCTTATGGGATGCGTAGGCTTCTCCGAGCTGAGCGGGGTTAACATTGAGAGCCCCTGGTTCGCTCGGGCAGCGTCAATTCACAAAACGCTCATCCGTGCGGGAGCTGTGAACCGCGTTGACCACACGGCTTCCCGCGGCTTCAAGTGAGTCGTATTCTGCTCTGATGCACGTCGTCATGTGATTGCTAGCGCGACACCATCTGCGTTTTTCCTTGGAGATCCTTAATTTGTGGCGAAAAGATCGTCGAGAGACGGTCGGAAGACCGGGATCATCCCCCCAGGGGCGGATCCAGGATTTTCTCTCGGGGGGGGCCAAAGCCCCGTCTGGTCGTGGATGGATGAGTTGGGAGCATATTATTTAAACTTTAATAGCTTAATATAACTTTAGGAGTTTATATTATGAACTGCTTCCCGAGCAGCACATTTATTCGGTCATATGGCTCGACTGTTCAAGTTTCACTCAGCCCTAGAACTAGATTCATCCAGTCAAGCTGGATTCACGCATTACAATCACGTGAAATGAAGTTTAACTTATATGGCACAACGATCAGGTGATAAAAAGCGAGCACAAAGCTTCGCTCGATTCAGCTACAAGACAAAATCTAGCTTCCTCGCATTCGAAGCTAAGGAGTCGATGACCTCCTCGGGATCGACGTCGATGCCCCGTAGGATGCTCATCGAGGCTAATCCATTCAGGCGAGCCTCGCCCATCACAGATCTCAAATACGTCTTCAGCAATCTAAGACTGCTGAAAGTACGTTCTGCGGAAGCGGTGGTTACTGGGTATGTAGCGAGTATTCTCAAGAGGATATTGATTTTGGGAAAATCAGCTGCGGGGCAGTGATTCAGTGCATCTATGGCGCTTGCAGGCACTCCGTTTTGCGGGACTTCCATCCACTTCGCGCGCCACCTTTCGAATTCGGCTTTTGCGACGTTAACACTACAGCTTAGATCGGACTCGTAAAACTCGATCGCTGGATGCAGATCCGTGACAGAGCTTCTCACTGCAAATTTGGGTATCAAACACTGGACCTTCAGGGCGCCCTGTCTCGCATCCGCGAACAGTGAGATAAACCCATCGATCAAGCTGTCGAGGTACGGAATGTAACTCGTCACTCGAAAATACTCTTCACTTGAATCTGCGGGATGATTCTCCCTGTTGAGCTGTCTTTCACATATGCGTGGCATTCTGATATCAATTTCGAGGGAGTCGCAAACCTCTGTAACCTCTGCCAAAATTTGTTGGAATCCATCGATCGCAGCTTCTCGCCTCCGCCTCAAGACAAGGAGTACGTTGTCCACTAAGTCAAGTGCCGCGAAAATATCAAGCTCCTTCGCTTGAAGTTTCACGGACAAGGGCAAAAAAAGAGATGAGAAACTCTCGATGATGAATAAAGACGTCACGAACTGGCATTTACAAATCGCGCTCAGAAGTTCGTAGGAGCGAGCTCCGGTTTCACCAACTTCTTGCTCCAGCTCCAGCAACGACTGCACGATCGGTATAAGAAGCTCCTTGAAAGCTATGAAAGCCTGGTGGCTCTCCACCCAACGCGTCATACACAATGTTTTGAGTCTCTTTTTTCTGGAATTCGATGAGTTCGAGCGTTCGATCTGATCTTGTAGAATTCTCGTTCGTTTTGAAGAGTTCGAAAAGAATGCACATACATTCGCCACTGAGCCAGCTACCAATCGGATCGCGGCGAGCTCGCTGGAGTGCACCAAAGCCAAATTCAAACAATGAGACGCACAATGGAAGTAGAGCGCTTGAGGAACGACGGCTTTTATCTCGGCTTGCGCACCCTTGTTTGACCCTCTCATCGCACTACAGCCATCATAACCCTGACCTCTGAGGTTCCGGATGTCTAGTCCTTCTTCTTGAAGAACACCGAGTATGCTGCGGGCCAACCCAGACCCTGTCTTCTCTTCCACATCAGAAAATTTGAGGAAGACTTCTTTGACAACGTGCTGATTATCTTCGCCGCCAACATAACGAAGACACACGGTCAGTTGATCGGTCTTCCCCACGTCCCTCGATTCGTCAGCTAGCACGGCGAAGAACTTGGCGACCTTGACCTCGGCGACAATTCTCCGTCGTATGATCTTCCCAATCGTTGAGATGATCTCGTTTTGGAACGTATGACTAACGTATGTCGCGTTCTTCTTGGCGCTGTTGAGGTGTTCTTCCAGAAGCCGATCCCCGGCATCGAGTCGATACCGCAACAGAGCTCTGAAGTTGCCGTCATTATTATTTCCGTCGACGGCGCTAAGAGACCCATCATCTCTGTGACCTCGAAGTGGTATATTTTGCTTCCCGCAGAGAAGAATCGTTCTGATTATAGGTACCAATCCTTGTCGATTCTTCTTCACCTGCTCTTCTCGTGCGGCTAACAATCGGTTCCTGAGGTCGTGGCCGACCTTATCGTTGTACCAATCGAGGAATTTCTCAGCTTTTCCTTTAGCCTCGCAATGATATTGGCAACGCTCATGGTTCTTCAGAATATCCAAGGCCTTCTTATACTTGTTGAGAGGTTTCGCGACCAGAACACCGAGGAAGTTGGGCCCTCTCTGATCCGACGTTTCTCTCGCAAACAGGACGCAGTATTTGCAGAAAGCCCCTCCGCCATGCATTTCGCTATAGGCTAACCACGGCCATTTCACGAGATAATGATGCTGGAAAGCACGAGTGCGAGTCGACTCCAGAACTTTCGGGAACTGATAGTGCTCATCGGGTTTCCAGCAATCTGTCAGCGCTTTGAACCGCTCCTCCTCCGTCAAAGGAGCATGTAGAGAGGAACTCTTCCGAACGAAGCGGCCAATATCCATGGGATCGAATGCCAACCGCGGCTTCTTCACGGCCGGAGACGCATTCGAATCGCACTCGTCCAAGGTTTCAATTATAGGCGGAGATTCCGCTCCGTCTTGTTGAGTCGAGGACGTCTGTAGGTCTCCCTCGGCCACAGTTCCCGGTTCCGTGGAGAAGAAATTTGTGAGCTTTCTTGTCTCTTCATCTTTCATCACGATGAATTCGAACACTGATTTCGCTTTGGACCGCAGATAACGCGAGGTGCGTGTCTTGAACGTAAACACAATTTTAGATGTCGTCGTTGCACATAGGTGTGAGTCTGCGGGGCTCTTCTCGGACGCGAAAGTTATCGATTCAAAGGATATATGAAGCTTTCCGGGGCAGACTGCCGGAATTGGTCGTCAATTGAGACCATTCTCAACCGATATAGTATGTATACCTTAGGCTCTCGGGGGGGGCCATGGCCCCCTTGGCCCCCCCCCTGGATCCGCCACTGCATCCCCCGTAGAGACCACCGCGAGATGATAGAAAACGTCTTTCTAGATTTGGGAAGATTCGTGGGACCGCTGGAGATTCCGCGTCTCGGGCTACTTTTTCTCCGATAGGGAATGTCTCTTCTAGTCGTGTTTGGTCGTTTCCTTGGAAAGTAAACACCATTCTCAAGACATGATCGGAACCCATTCCTTCTTGACAACGACTTCTATTTCTTCTCTCGTGTCCTTCCCTCGCGAGCCAAAGGCGCCGACGCCAGCCAACAAAACCCGAATTTTCCAAGTACATCCGAAACCGAAGGAAACCGTACCCGCTCATTACCGTCTCCGCTGCTTTCTAAGTCTGGATTTCAAGCTTGCATTTGTTCGATTCTGTGAGTCGAGCATCGGTGATGAGCGACGCCCTGAATTCTCTCCTTCGAAAAACCATCCCACTCATTCGAAATGACATCAGAGGCGTTTCTCTCCCGGTTAAGCCTACGATCGGAGGCTCCGATTTCTCCACAGTAACTTGGGACCTCCATTTGGGGAGATCGGATGCCTCGGTATACGGATCTCTGGGACCGAGACCATTCCTGTTTCCTTTGTCACGTCGCATATCGCAGTATGAGGCAGGCTAAATCAGAGGTCGAATTATCGGGACTCCGGTGATTGAATCGAATGGGACATCGACTCATGGAGGAATCCCGTGATCATTCTGTTCGAAAGACGCGGTATATGTCCTCGTCTCGGAAACCGAGGTAAGAGAGACAGTCTTCCCTTCGCCTCATTCTTGGAAAAAGCACTGGAACGCGTTGGAAGCTGGCGTCTTCTCGTCAGACTAGATGAGAATCCGAGGGAGGCTCGATTTTGCTACCGATGCAAACACACCATCAGACACGGCGGAGGCTCTACCAGCAACAAAGATGACCTTCGGCCGAACTCGAGTGTTTTGGGAAGTTCTCCTTGAGACGCTCGCTTCCACTCAACAAGCTGGAAGACCTTGGAGTCTCGTGAACGGCGTCGTCTTGCCAGAAATCGGGTCTTCCCGACCTTGTTCATGAAAGCTCAGCCGGCCCGCTTTCGATGCATCAGTTGGACCATTATGTCTTTCGGAGGGTCCAATGGGCCTACAGAAGAGAAGATGAGCTTTGTTCTACCATGAGCGAAGCATTCTCTCCTTGTGGCTTGAGATATTGTAAATTTCCGAGCATTTAATGTTGACGTTCCGTTCCCTCTAGCCGTTACGATCGGGGACGTTGAAAGCCTGTGAAGAACTCACACGCAATCGAGCCTTTACAGAGCAGAGTAAGGTTGAATGGACCGCGAGAGTTTGGTTTGAAAGTCCCCAGAGAGGCCCTGGGAGATCTCCCTAGAAGTAAGAGCTGAGCGGACGTCAAGCGCGAATGTTGTCGCTGGTTCTGGCTGTTCGTATCGGAAAGCTCAGATTCAGCTGATTAGAGCGAGTGAAACATCACTGGATGCTCTGATGACATCATCATAAACAACGAATCCCGACGATTCTGAAAAAATATCGATCACCGGAGCGGCGGCGGGTTCTGGCCAGCACCCTGGCTCGCTCTGTTGCCAGGTGCGCTCAGTTGCGGAGCATCGGCATTGCGGCTCCAGCCAACGGCACAATCAAGAGCATTGGAACAGCGCGCGGCTTAGAACCACTGCGGCGATAACGGTGATGCATCGTGTCGATAGTGCATAGAGACTCCGCGGGGCAAGGTGGATGCCCTGCGTCTGACTCGATCACAGGAGTGGCGTAGCAAAACCTGCGTCTAGCGAAAGACCGAAGATTTCTCCGGCAGTCCCCAACGACTGAAAAAAAGCCTCCAGCCAGAAAATTTGATCATTTTTTGAAAGTGGAAGTGGGGCAAAACCCAAGCGACGATGAATACACGGTGGGAATGTTCGGTCACGATGAGGAAAAGCCGAAATGGAGTCGGCTTTCACTATTCCTCGGTGAAGTTCATCCTTAGGTGAAACACGCGGTGTCGACTACAGCTAGGCCCCTAGTCGACACTGCGTTCTTTCCGCGTCGCCCAAGCCCGATGAAATGCGACATCGGATCTAAGGAAACCCTGGGGTGGGTGTGTCTCCCGACGGCGAGAGCGGGACCGGCCCGGGATCGTCAAAGTTCTCAGAACGCGGAGCAGCTGTGTCTGTCCAGGGAGACATTTCTGGAATTATTTTCCCATCGGCATCTTCGGTGCTCTTGACTCGGATGAGCGATCTAGCGGCTCACTCCAAGCTTCATGAACCCGAGACAGCCGCCCTTCGAAATTCTGGTACAGAGAAACTCGATTTCTTAAACCGAGAGTCACCCGATCACCAGCTTCAATGTCGGGGAGATCAGACAGGAAAAAAAGAGATTCCATCATCAGAGCTTATCTGGGCTCGGATAACTTTGAGAAGGAACATCGGTATCTTAGAGGTGCCCGTGTTCTCCACACCGGCCGAATTTTCACTAGCTCTGACATTCCGTCCGTTCGAGACTTCCCGATAATTGGAAATTTTCCCCGTGAAATTGGGAGATCGAGTAGCCTCCACCGTGTGTTCAGTCGCGATAATTCCCGGGAGATCTGCAGTTCGCTCGAGCTCGAGGAGGACGAAAGAAGGGCTAGCTGAGGGATTTCATAGAACGGCTGCCCCTCCACAAGAATCGAGGCCCGCGGACAAAGAGCGTCTACGGAGGACTCTGCGGTGACGAAATGTTTCTTCGCATTTGGCGGATCAAAATCCTCGATTACGCTCCCCGTCTATGGAAAACTCGCTTGCATAAGTGTAGATTGCGGATTCACATTTTCAGAACAAGAACCTCTTCACGAGGCTTAATCTCTTTGTAATTTTACTGTCGTCGTGTTTTTTCGGCTCACTCGTTCGTTCACCGCGTTCCCTCACAGTGGATAGCAACAGAGCGAGGTTTGATGCCTCCGGGCTCGTGACACTGACCCGCCGGATTCGAGTTGGGAGAGAGGGAGAAATTCAAGGGCTCTGAGCGCGCTAAAGAAGGGCAAAGCTGAAACGTTTCTCGATTCTCCACGTACCTGAAAGGCCGAATTTTCCGGATACACGCACTCTGAACAGTTTTGAGTGCTTTGAATGTAACCGTCATGATCACTGATATCCGGGGTTTCGGACGATTTCGCAAGTGTCACCGGTTTTGCGGCTGGGGAATGCTGGGCTGTGAGTTGGTGTCGGTACGATTCTCGGTCTGCGCGAAGCCGCAGGCGTATATCCAGGTTTTCGGACGAAATGACGGGTCTGAACGAGATGAGGGAACGAGCGCGAAGAAAGTTTCAGAAGATATTTTCTGCTTCGGCTGCGTCCCGGACCGGTGTTCAAATGGTTCTGGCGGACGGAGGCGCCACTGACTCCGGAAGAGGCGGACGGGCCCGGGCCGTTCGCAAATGTCTGAGACGTCTCAGGGCACCGATTGTACTGGTATTAGTCGGAGTGTTTTCTGTTTTCGTCGCTAAAGTTTCAATGGGAGCCGGAGAAGAATGTTCGCTCATCACCACAAGGAGGCGGATGAGCCGAGATGTGGACGATGGGGAAAAACCGGCGGTCGTAGCACGAACTGCACTGGCAGTCGCTCGGATACGGCGTTGCAGAAAAGCAGCTCGGCGAGTCGGCAAGCAATCAGTGGACAGGTGTCGAAGGTTATCCGACGAAATTAACACAGAGCTCTTCGCAACTCCCGTCACGGCGACCACCACACGCCAGCATGGCTCACATGTACTGGATGGATGGCAGAGAGCGGAGGGAGGAGCCCCTTGGAGCCCTAGGAGAGGGCGCATCACACTGTCGAGGCTACGACAGTGTGTGAGAGCGACCAAGGAAGCGAGCGAGTGAGTGAGCGAGTCGGAGACATCTGTCTCCAAGAGGATTTCAGAGAAAGCAATCTCAGTCACGCCGTCTCGAAGACCATTCACTCACTACTTCATTCATTCAGCCACCCGGCCGGTCGGTCGGTTTGTCGGAAGGGGCTAGCCAGTACCTGCATGGCTCGCAGGCTGGCATGCCGGACAACCGGCTTCTATTGTGTGCGGCCGAATCCGCTGGCTTTCTTCACCCGGTGTCCGGCAGAAGGTTCCGGCTTCGGATCCAAACGGCTGATGCCGGCGCATGCATCGCCACCACATGAGCCAGCGAGGGATATCGCGGAGAGCCTCATACCTGAAATTATTTCGGAGCAATAGCCGGTGCATGCAGCCGCAGCGCCCATAGGGAAAAGGAAAATCTGGGACTTTTCTCCCGTCACGAGAAATCGTCCGGCTTCCGACGGAGGGAGCCGAATTTCGCCGAGATCCTTGCCGATGAGAAGTTCGCGTTTCTGTACAAGATGAGGATCGCCCAGCGAGTCGTTAGAATGAGCGGATCTCCCGAAGGGCGACCAGTTTCGATGGAACGAGGAGTGATGTTATCACGCTGAGATTCATTTTCGCTTCTATCGACGATTACGAGGGACCTTCATGAGAGCATTAGTGTTGAAACCGGATGGTATCCGCCGCTTGCCGGCATCTCGACTTTCGCGGAGCGATACCAAAAAGCGCCCATCTTCCGTACGCGAGCGGCGGCGAAGATAAGGTCTCTCCTTTCGGTCTTGACGAGCTCCTCTGGGAAATCAGCGCCCTTCGTTGGTAAGATCTTTCTCGAGCGAGGGGAAAAGATGTGAACAGCACGAAGTGCACGTATACGTAGAACTTATGAGCGAAGCTGATTCGGGGCCCTGAATCCCCCGTGACGTCTCGTGGCGAGCATCGTCAGAGACCCGGAAATCAAGACCCTGCAAGAGCTTCACGCGGTCAGCATCGGGTCGACGGAAAGGTCCTTCCCGAGCTCCCAGAGGATTCGAAGCGGAGGAACAGGGTCCATCCTACTAACGCATGTGATCACCTGTCGCGCATTTTCCCGCCAAAATTCGAATCGTGCCCTCCCTCATCACACGTTCGAAAAATCGAGCGCAGTGGCAACAGCGCTACCTCTGCCAAAATAACAACAGGAATTTCACGCGCGAGTGTCACGAATCACGAAACACGCGTGCGCTCGAGGAAGCTGAGGACTCGTTCTCCACCCCTTCGGCTCAATCCCCGCTCGGCCTTCCGTCATGTCCTCGTCAACATCATCGGATCCCGAAGACAGCGTTGGGGAAGTGGTTTACAGTAAAAGTGCCGGAGTCGGAGACCAGGCCGACGATTGGGACGATACCGCTCTGATCGAAGCCTACGATGCCGCATTGGGCGGGCTGGAGCACGAGTTAGAGAAACGGAAAGCGCGCACGTCAACTCAAAAAGCTTCTTGTTCCTCACGAGGAGCACCAGCATGCCAGACTAAATGGAGCAAGGGCCAGTTCTGCAAAGCGCAGTATTCCGTCGACCAGCAGTGGTATGAAGCGAAGATCATCGCGCTTGACGGTGCTCATTGCATTGTGCAGTACTTGGGCTACATGGATCACGAGAGGCAGCCATTGAGTGCTTTAAGATCGTCGGGCGGCCGAAAACAGCGTCAAATCCAGATGAAGTCTGTCCCGTGTGAGGAAGAAGGCGACTCCGAGGCATCGCCGGAGGAGGAGATCGCTGACGATCATTCCGCCAAATCGGGAGGGAGTGCTTCAACGACGAAAAAAAATCCCTGCGACAAATCGTCCAAGTCACGGCAGCGAGAACGCCAAGAGGAGCAACTTGGACATCTCCTTCATCTGCAGAATCAGCATCAGCGCTACGCTGCGGCTGGGGCGAACCAACCAAAATTTTCCTCGTCGACACAGGCCCCGAAAACGTCCAAGGATTCCACTAGGAAACGCAGCTCCCACGAGTCGTCAATGCCCTCAGTGATTGCTTTCCCCCCGCCACCCCCACCTTTCCCGCCGGGAGTCGATGAGATATGCGAGGGCGATGAAGCCCTGGCCGCTATGCTGATTTCTTGGTACATATCGGGCTACCATACGGGCTACTATACGGCTGTGAGAAACCAGTCCAAAGGCTGATATAAAGATTCGGCCGCTGGCTGCTTATTCATGGTCTGAGGTGTCCAGACTGATATTATACAAGTTCTGAAGCGGATGAAATCGACGTTCATTTCCACGGTTGGGTGATCTCATCTCAGTTCTGTTCGCGAAACCAATCGCTTCCGCGGGTGAATAAATCGAAATCCACACGGATTCGGTCTCATTGTTTTTTCGATGGCCGGGAAAAATTTCGTCCAATGAGTTCTGGACTCCACCAGCGGTTGAGCTGCAGTGCTTCCAAGACCTGCCTATTTCAATGACCAGTGGGCGCGATTACATCTACGTAGTTTTATTGTGAATTATATTTGCCGATGGATCAATTATGGTAGGTTTACAGTGAGAGCTCTTTGCAACTTCTCAGAAGTTCTGCTCGCCATAATTTTTTTTGGATGAGGAGAGACCCTGAGCATCACTTATACCAAAGCGCGGATGTTGAGAGGACTCATTGGCCCACCTTAGTACGGGAATGAGCCCTCCTACGTCTAGCCTCACAGCCTCATCGGTGTCCCTCTCGGGGCTCTTGCCATTCTGACCGACACTGTTGATGCTCATGTCACCGAATCTGACTCGAATCTTTCACTTGAGGCAGCAACTTATCATTATTAGGGCTCGTTCCCCGGGGTCGCAAGAATTCAGCGAGAATGCACCGGCCGGAATCCTTGTGGTGCTTTCACGATGGTTGCGATCATTTCCGATCCAGCAGCAGCTTCAGCACCGGTGGGAGCGGAGGATTGTATCGTCACGTCGGCCGGATTCTTCGACTCAGTTCCTGAAATTGAGCGTATCAGAATTCGCTCGCGGATATCACGTATGAAAGATTTCGATTCCTAGCTCCCAGCACAACGGAAGAAACGGAGCGATGCTGCACCAGTTACCAGGCACAAAAGCTGTGATGTAGTGCTCCGTGTATAGGCATCCCGCGTTCCGCCCTCAGGTCTCTCATTTCGAGCGAGTCTTCAGGCTCCTGCTCTAGATCGCGGACGGGGTATTCTTGCTGACAAGACATGCTCACCTTGCTCATTAGTGATCACATCGGCATGGAAACCACTCTCATCAGCCCAGTACGTTACAGTTCGCATGCGTCCGTCCGCTAACTGGAGGCTGTAACTCCCCTGAACTCTACCGCTCCCGTCTCCAGATTCCTCGTGGCTGGATGATCCCTCCTTATCTTGCGAGGAGTAATTGAACTGGTAGGGTTCCGGTTTGGCATCGTTGTCCTGCGCAAGAACGCAGATCGCCAGCGATGAGAGTACGAACAAAGGCTGCAACGCGCCACAAAATATTAGTTACGCATCGGGGAGCGAGCGGTTCTGGAGAAAGAAATCCACCTCTGGATCGAGATCCGGACTCCGAGTATTCGGACCCTCAGGTTATCCGATATTCCCATCGCAATTCAGCTGATTCGGCCGTTGCGATCGCTACACGCTACCACGGTAGATCCCGGGAAGATTTGCCGCACTGAACCTCCAGGACTTCGAGAAGTCCGAGATGGTCTTCCGGCCCCCTGAGAAGTAGGCTATGTCGTCCTCAACGATGAATTGGTGCTTATTCATATCGATTGAGTATCCACACCGAGGGATGTTCCGATATTCCGCGCCCCCTCGCCTCTGTATGCATACCCTGCGTGGCAGCAGAGTCACCGTGTACTTGAAGCACCGCAGATATTTTGGGCTCATCATATTCGAGCCACTTGTGCCATCGGTTCCTCATCTGTGAAGTTCTCGACTTTTCGAGAAAGGAATAGAGGCAGTTGCGGACAACTCAACTTTGATTCATGTTCCCTCCAGACATCAAGACAATCTGGCATCGTGCCCGAGAAGTCATTTGTGATTGTAGTGAATGGAATCGATCCCAGAGGTGATCACCGAGGGTTGAACGTTCTTTTCCGACCCAATGACTTTCGATGCGAGCCTTGCGCGACGACAGTGGTGTTACTCTCCTCTCCAGCGAAAATGATAATCGGCAGTGACTGCCCAATTGGCAATGACAGAATCTCGACTCGACGAGTCTAGAAGGAATCGCACTCGAAAAAAGCTCTTCGCTGCGGGCGATATCCCGTCTATCGAAGGGATCTCCCGCTTCGAAGGTACGGATTTTCACTGAATCTTACGAGGTCGAGTAGAAGCGCAGAAACAAGACTGGATAACTTACCCTGAACATGATGCTCACTCAGTGTTCTCAAGGGATGTCTCCTTGGAGAAGTCTAAGTCTGACTCGTCCTGATGGCTCGACGCATTTTATGCTCGACGACATTCCGAGAGAGAAGTCGAATGACGTAGAGAGAGGGCAGGCATCCCCGTGTTTCCGAAGCCAAAAGAAAATGGTCGGACGAGTCTGAGACTCACGAAGGTACACCATCAAGCTGTCAAGAAGACATGAAGAGAGGAGGCAGCTCAACTTTCTGATCAGTCGAATTCCTCAGGAGAAGATGAAGTTTACCCCGAAAGCGATTTGGCGGTCGGTGAACGAGCTCCCTGATCGTGCGAAGGCTTCAGGCAGCGGAGGAGAAGATTTCGCTTCTGAGGCAAAGCTCCAGAGGAGTTAAGTTCTGCTACGGTGGTGCCGCCGCTTCATATTCCTCCTACTGAAAACTATTCTCAGATAACAATCGAGGTCCGGGGACCCCCAATATTCATCCGCAATCGGGTGAATCGCCAGGAGCGACACTGAGAAGGAACTCCAGATTCTCATGACTCGGTTGGCGCGAGTCCACAGGGGGGATATACGAAGACTGTGCTTTGTCGTGATCTAGCTGCAGCAACCCTTCCCCTTGTTTGCAGAAGCATAATGAGCATCAGTCATTCTTACTGCTCATATTCAGTGCTCCAACAAAGTTCAATTTGAGAGAGCAACATCCCGAACGTTGCGATTCCCTCGCCCCGGTACTACATACGTACCTACGGGATCAAATAGATTGAGATCGCAGCGGAGGCAAATTCACCTACGACTCGACTGGAAAGCCCGCAGATCTTTCGCATCGAGCCGCTAGAGACATATATGAAATCTCAAAGGCTCTCGATACCGACTTACGAAATTCTTCGACCCTGGTTCCATGAGGTAACGGAGACGTAAGAAAATTCGGGAAACATGGGGAATCGCAAGCGAAATGCAAGGAATCTCCGTCGGGATTCGAGATGAGCGGCAATCATTAGAGCAGCGAGTTATTCAACGCTGGAGAGGAGCGGAAAATGCGGGATCTCGTCATGAGGCTCGATTCGGATTCGCTCTCGTTAATTGTCTCCAATTCCAGAAACCGCGGAGTCGTGCTCAGGAAAGAGTCGAGGTGCGCTGATAGAAGCGAGAGAAGGGAAATTCCATCAGGAGCTCCAATAAAGTAGAAATTCTGCTAATTCCCGAATACTGATCGCCAGTCGCGTGAGCCCGATGATCCGCGGAAATCACCTCTTCTTCGATCCCGACTTTTGGAGAACGGAGTCTATCACTATGGTCTGATCTCGCCTCAATTCGTCCGCTGAGGCCCTCACCCCGACGCGAAATCGTAGCGAAACTGCAGCTCCTTCGGAGGCGGTTACTACTCGTGTCGAAGTCATATTCCCTACTCCCTCTCTCCCCTCGATGCCTCAACTGCGTCAGCAGAAAGCGTCACAGAAAATATTTCCGCCAGCGTTGCCGAAAGCGATTCCTGTCCGATTTTCGCCGGGCTCTCCGTCGCTACAGAACAACAAGCAGAAGTATGATTGTCGCTCGTGGTTGCACACGAAACCCAGGAAGCGCAGCGCATCCCGGAGGAATCTCCAATTATGGAAGGCACCGACCCATTATCACGTAATTCTCCTCATTCTCTCATGCGTTCACCTCCGGAGTCGGTCGGTTCTAACCCCGATCGTTCCGATATCCGCACCCACCAACTGTAATCGGCAAGGTCCATCAACTTCGCTCCGATAGGCCCGGAATGCCCTCAGATCGATGAATTCTCAGAAAGGCGCGAATCAAGAAATTCGGGTAGGTCATGGATACAAGACTCGCCGATCATACAGACGTTGTATATAGACAGGAACATATACTGTTCGATCATGGTGGTATTCATTCCCCCGGATGAGTCCATGCTGAAGTTTGCGGATGCTGGAAGGCTCGCTCAGGCAGCCGCTCGATATGGGGACTATCCAGTCACCAGCAGATTCCAAGGATGCAATAAGTGACCGTGATTTTCCCGAGCCTTCTCAGGGTCCGTCCTCGCCATTTCTCCAGAGCTTCCCGCAAATCGATCCTCTCAGATCCTTGACGTCATTCCGAATTCTTCAGAAGCGGTTCGCGGTTTCCGAGCCGAGTTGTGATATCGAATGACTCGCGCTACTGTAGCCGCGAAACCGATCCGATCTAGCGTTTTCACGTGTTATACCCCAGGAGGATTCACCATCAGCCTGAGCCGAATGGTTCGTACTGACTTCGTGGTAGGCATACATTGCCAGACTTGAGTTCGATGAAGTTACTCCTTTCTCCGAGCTAAAACTGGTACAGTAAAAGCTCGTTACTACGAACACGAAGGGACCGACGAAACTGGTTCGTTGTACCGAGTTTTCGCTGTAACGAATGCCGCTCAAAACTATCCCTATGGCGAACTGGCCAAAGGAGGAGAAATTCCTTGTTCGTTGTACCGAGAAATTCGTTGTAATGGGGGTCGTTATAACGAGCTTTTACTGTAATTGTGGCCACAAAGGAGCTCAGCATGGGCGCGCAGTTCGAGCTCACTGAGACCAAGCGGAAGGATTTCGAGCCTGGGTATTTTTTGCGCAAGGGTCCGAATCGTGCTGAGCAGGAAGGAAGTCGAGAGTGGGGCTGCGCATCCCAGAAGCCCGAATCGAAAAGTCCAGTAGGAACGGCTCTCTTGGCCCCTTGGGCACGCCTCTACTTGCTAGGAGAGTAGCATGGAATAATCTGAACTCATGCAAGAAGTGATTCATCCTTAACCAATCATACGTCGATAACTCGAGATGCCAATTGCATCTGAGGCATCATCTCCCGCTGATGAATGTCGGATGGGGAACACAAAGGTCAGAGACGGCGGTAAAAAATTTCCCCTTGACTAGATGCTTGCCCAGCATCGAAAATTGAAGCTTAACGAGCCTTCTCCGCCTGGTTCACTCCTGAATCATACCTAGGATGCTCTATGGGGGAAGTCATGAAAGGCCGCTGGTAGGATGGGGAGCTACGATTCTGCGACTCGCCCTCAGTCAGACTCGACGGCAGCTTTTTCCCGTGAGACGGGGAAGGGTTTATATCCGCTAGGGTCCTTGCTCAAAAGTTCACAATGAGAACTTTCGCTCTGAAAAGCTTGCTCAACACGAGATAATTATAATTAGGCGCGTTTCTCCCCTCACCCAAGAGCCACAAATTCGGGAAGAGCAACGTGAATGAATCGGCGGGGAACGATGAGTCCATTGTTGTTCCCGTCCCCTTCCTCGTTGATTGTTTTCGTGATGACTTCCACAGGATGGCAGGACCTGCTCCGAATGAGATATGCTGCACGGATTGAGGGAAAAGCGAGACAGCGGAGCAGGGCTCGCGAAGGATTATCCACATGTACCCTCGAATATTCACTTGCGAAGTCTTACGTTTTGGAGTCAGATTCCGGGCGTGGAAGCTGGAAGCTGGGGCAACAATGTGTCTGTGCCGTGAGTAGGTTTCCTCCGATGTTCATGGTTATCATCGAAGCGCTTCCGCTGGGAAATTCATCGGCTCCATGAAAGAATCGCCAAGACCTAAGACCCTGACGTGACCCATTCGGGAAACTGAGCTCGCTCACTACAGCATACGTGAACGGATTCTCTTCGATTCCAACCCGTCCTCCGGCGACACATCCAAGAATATTCCCCCAAATCGAATTGTGTCAATCGAGATGAGGCTATGGTTGGCACGGATTGTGATTGCAGAGCCCGGGTGAATTCATAGGCTTTGATAGCACTGCTCATATTTGTTTATAGTTTATCCCCCTCTAGTTTTTCCCCTCCTTATTATTTCCCCCTCTAAGGCTTCCAAGGACCACATCCGACGGAGATGGAGAATACGCCGCGAGAGGCTAGAGAGAGAAAATACATAGACCGCCCCTCCCGAAAAAATCCTGGATACGCCACTGGTAGCCACTGATAGCTCAGAGAGTAATTGAGTCTCAATGAGAATCGTGCGTGCAGCGATAAATTCAGGGATACCCGGTTCATGGCGCTCATGCGAGCCTATGGACTCAGTACTGACAACGTGCGTGAATTTCTTCGGTCTACACCTGCTGCCCGAGATGCGGGGTCCCAGAGAGAGATCGCATCTGTGAGGTGTAAATCGAAGGCAATTCGACCGATGAGGGCGCGTTTCGAGCTCCGACCCAGGCTCGACCCTCACTCCACCGTGTAGAACCTCAGACGGATGAGCGGTATAATCCAGTAAGGGGGCCTTTGGGGCGGTAATCATTGGAGACTGAATTCTCCTCATGGATTTGTAAAGGATTGTCTCTCGGGGGCTCCATCCTACGCGGGAAACATCGGGACAGACTCAGGAAGCTCAACGAATCTCCATTCCGATGCGAACTCCCAAATCGCATTGGTGTCTTCCGATGTCCCCGAAAGTATCCCCCGTGTATTTCTCGAAGGAAGGGAAATGCGAACTTAATATCGGGAAATCGTCCGGCCATGCCGGGAAGCATCGGGGAGGCGAGGAGAGGATTCAGGACCTGAAGGCTCTTATTCGATGAATCCGACCTGGAACGCTGCGACGGTTTCTGGAATTAAATCTCGCTCATCAGGGACGACTTCCATCGAAATTTCAGGGGATTTTATTACATTGTTGAGGTTGGGGGATGCAAGAAATCAATGTTTGGATTCGTTCTGGATTCAATTATCGACAACGATTGTAATTTCAGACGAGCACTATGAAGCAATCAAGAAACGAGGAGCACTATCCCTACTGGCTCCGGGGAAAATCGACACGTTGTCTGACTCAAGAGCGACGGTGGCAATGCGTACTTATAAGATGATGAGATCAATTCTCTTAGCAAAACGAAAGTTCTCCCGAGATTTAGAGATTTCATATCTCCCGAATTCCGAGTTTTCCCCTGCCGGGAAAGCAACTCAGCTCACCGGGGTTTCCGAAGAACAGGTCAACTATTGTGAGTGCACCTTAGCGCGCGAATGTTAGCGAGGCTCCTCTGCCAACTGTCGGAACTTTCAAAACTTTAGTTTTCTTCTTATTCCTTGATGAGAAGTCAATTTCGAATTCATAGATCGTTTCGAGTGGGCTCAACATCTCGGTAAGAAACATGTGACAAGGGTGGCAGAGGACTGTATTGCTCTCGGCCACATACATTGTTGGAGTAACATTAGTCTCGATAATAAACTCTAAAAACTCCTCCACTTAAATCTAGGAATATTTCAAGTCCTTCATTCACTCAGAATATGAAAGTAAGTATGCTCTGTAGATGGCGTCGTAGTCATTTCGTGTATCGACTTTAGGTGAATTTGCAGTTGAGTTGTTGCCGTCTCCATATGAAGATGAAACTATGGAACTTCTTTTCAGTCAGAACAGCGTCACACCGACCACGTTGCCAATCTCATACTTTCTCTCCCCTCCCAACTAAGTGGATGATATAACGTTCAGAGGTATTTCGTAACCGTCATCCGGGAAGCATCTTTTCTTCCTATATGTATGGCGATAGAAACAAATTATTTATCTGCGGAGCAACAATCGATAGAAAAACAGCGCGAAAACCTCGGGAAATACACCGCCAGGAGCCGACATTACCGAGCTCTAAGGTATGCGAACTGTCTGGTGGCATCCCATTATAAGTAGGCAAATAGTCCATCTATTAATCGGATATATTTACAGAGACTCGTATGACTCGAGACTGATTCTTCCTCGTGGGGGCATTGGGGCTTATTGTTTCCTGCGACTTGGGGAATCGGCGCGTATCAAAAAATCGATGAAGAAGCAGACATCTCATCCACTCGGATATAGCGACCAGCGATCCTCACCGGCGCTCCCCTCGCGGGATATTTCGGGCTATGGTCCAGAAGAGCACACCTGACGTGAGACGCTCCTAGTCGGCTTCAAATCATCGATGATTATGAGCTCAAAAAAGCACGCCGCCTCGAATCAACGTCGGAATTCGCTTTTGGGTGGTGGTGGCATTGACGACATCGTACCGTATATAATTATTTGAATATCGATCTAGGGCATCATACTCAGGCATGTGTGTATGTAGGTAATCAGACAACAAGTATTTTTTAACGTGTAAATACAGTCATACGTTCATCTTGACGGTTTTTCGTCTCCTTTCAGAGGTCATAAAAAACTTTACTCCTTGCTGTGAGCTACCACGGTAGCAAAAAGACTCTCGAAAACTGAGACAACAAACACCCCGACCCTGCAGAATGAATAATACAACTATCCATTAGAAGTATCTCTTATATCTGTCGCTGGTTACGGGGTGCTCGCTGGTTTGTGGTGGTTGTTCATGGTGTAGCTCTCTTCTTCGTAACTCATACAGAGTCTTCGAGCATTCATCATCCAAATCATTGTCGGGTCTGGTGAGTTCGATTACGGGTCCATCGAATTTTAGAGATCACCCTCTCGCTACTTCCGTCTCGAACTAACCGAAACGTTTGCTTTCCTGCTTAGTACGTTATTCCGGCTGTGTATCATAATGCTTTAAGCACAAAATAAACGTAGGCTACATTTTTTTTGATCTTCGTCAGAATGTAAAAATCTGACCGCCTTATAGACTTCGAAACTGTTGAAATCGTTGTTGTTGCAGTAGGTGTGATTCTCGAAATATTTGCTCTGCCTGGTCGATTCGTTCCCGCTTTTCCAATAATTGTCATTGGGTTCTCTAAACTCTCCCAGAGAGCAGCACAGTTGCCCTGGTCCTTGATGATGATGATATACAATTGAAACGAAAAAAGGTCCGCACTGGTTCAGCCCCGAGGTGGCCTTTCTGAACCCCGTCTGTTCGGTTCTCTGTCTTCGACCCGCATTCCGAAATCGATCAATTCCTGAATAATGCCGATAAATTGACTCGAGGAGCCAGCGATCTCGCTTCCAAGAAAACTCGAGCGTTAAGAAGTGAGGTCTAGACTACCAACATTCGGTCCTCTCAAGAGGCCGACAATGCATGTCGATCGAGACGTCGGCTGCGGAATCCTTCCCAGCCGTATACTTTGGAATGTGATTCTCGCACGGAAACCGTTAGCGGTTTCTATCCGATGAATTTAGGAAAGAAAAACTTCTCGATACGAGGCTACCCGATGATCTACGAGTGAAATCCTGAAAGCTCTAAGAGAACTTCATAGAAGGCTGTCGAAGACAGCGATGGGTGTTCGATGGGATGCCGTAACACTGACATGGGAGTACGCTCCCACCAGGTTTCCATTTGATTCTTCATCCGTACCATGATTATCGAAACTGGGTATCTAGCGATTTCTGACTCTGAAGGTAGAGTCGTGCAGAGATGTATACGATTTATCGAGACGGTTGACGTTGATGTTGAGCTTAGTTCACCCATCAATAGGAATCCTTCGAGTTCGTAGAACTCAAGGTCGAAATCCACCTCGGGGGAGCAGAAGCATCTCTCATGCCGGCTTTGTCTCCGATCAAGAGGACGAGCGCATACCAAATTCTCGGAGTTATCATCTCGTTTGTCGGGTGGTTCATTCGCGCTTGTTACTTGGTATCATCGCCTTTCGATCCGGTTCAGTTCAGTTCGACGTTCTTAAGCTTATTTGACGTGTTCATGATGTGGCGAAACAACGCCGCGTCCCCTTCACAGAGGATCCCAGCTGCACAGCTATTCTAGATCACGATCTGGTTTTCCCTCCTGAATTCTTTTCAAATCCCGTCCGGGTAGCTGATTGGTTGTTGTTGTAGTTCTCATGTACGATGCTGAAACGTCGTGTGGATTCATCTTTCAGCCAGCTGATGTTGAGTTCATTTTGGGTTCGGTGTTCGTTTAAGTCCTCGACTACTCTGCCGGGTGTGTCTTTATCGCAATCTTATCGCTCCTCGAAGCATTCATTGTCCGATCATTTCGAAATAACTCAGGAGAACGCTCAATGTATAACTGACTGTCGAGATCGAAATAAAATAGAAATTTCGTACTCGTAGCAGATGCTGCTGTTTTCGCTGCGGCTGCCGTAATTGCGGTCATTGTATCCGGTAGGATTCCAACTCCACGAATACAACTAACTAAAGCGACAGACGGTACGACTCGTCAGGCATTCGATCACGATCATCACGAATTATTCTCGTTTGATTGATTTCTCTGCAAGCGATTTTAAGAATCCAGAAGTTTGCGTCTGAGATCTGTATGCTTGTTTCTTGGCTCTGTTTTAGGTACATACAAGATAAATAGAGGATGGAAAACTTTTAACTGAGACGAATTTTTGGGGCAGCCGTCTCTCAGAAGACAGCTCCCGTGGGCCACTGCAGGCGCCTAGGTGCTGTGAGAAGGTCCTACATCGGTTCATTCACTTGTTGTTCGGAATCGCGTCAGCTGTACTGGTTTAGCACAAGGTATATCGATACTTCTGATACCTTGAGCCGCTCGTGATTTTGTAATATTCCTCAGGCCTCGGCTTCTGAATCTCTCAGCAAGGTATAGCTTGCTCGTCAGCTTCCTCCCTTCCGCTGGCGAGCTTTCACATAGTAGCTCCCTTTCCTACTCATATTATTTTGTGCAGATTGGTTTCGGCTAAGGCAGGGAAAAACGGCTTCTCCCTCGGACAGTATTCTTTCTTGGTCTCAGTGCGAGCATCAGATTTGTCGACTTGTTATCCCACTTGAAGCATGAGGTTCGACGGGTGGGCGCAGCACTTTTTCTTCTCGAGAGAAATTTCCCATTTCTCTCACTTTGTACGAGTGATCGCTTGTTGTGTGTGGACATTACGTTTTTTCTCCATCTAGTCGTCCCTTGTCGCCGTCATGGTCGGTGGTGGTGTTTCCGTCGCAGCTCTCCGGATGCGGAACTTCATCTATGATTGAGCACCTGCATCTCGGAGTCTTCCTTCCTTTGGGCTTCTATTCACAGATTCACAACACTGTTCGAAGTTGATGCTTGCCTGCTTCCTCAGGATCAAGTCCTCCGGCAAGGTCACAGGTCTCGCTTTCTGCTCGGAAATGAGTGAGACTTTTCCTGTCGCGCTCGTGACCCTCCGATGCGGAGGGTCGATTCCTATCGTGACGCGCTCTTGGGGCGAGAATGAGAATTCATTCTCTTACGTTCCCGCATCGCTCGGGAAATTCATTGACATCTAACCTGATGAAGATTCCCGATTCATTATCGCCGGGCTTGACAATCTTGAGTCCGCATGACCAAGCTAAGGCACCCACCCCTATAAGAGAAAGGGCTCTTCAGGGAGGCAGCAGCGGCTTCCCATGTGGACAAGGAGCCGGTACGTATGGTGCGTTTCCTGGACAACGCCAAAGCGAAGGGCAGTCGGTCGCGGCAGCTTTGATTTTTTATCGAGAGCTGTCCATCGTCATCGTCGCCGCCGCCGGCACTGCTACTCGTGTCGACGACACCTTCTGGATGTGCATCGACTTCACAATCGAGTTGGCCGTGGGCATTGCACCCGTCCGAACATCGAAACGGAAACGCGCCGCGGACGTCGCACAACGTACGTTGTGACTGCCACAGCTGCGTTCGTATCTGTTGACGCTGCTGCAGTTGTTGCCGTCGACGTCATTGCTGTTATCGCCGTCGAAGTTGCTGTTGTCGCTGCTGCAGTTGACGGCGTCATCGTCGGCCGTCATATGTGGAACGTGTGCAAAGTTGGCCGGAGAAGAGTCGCCGTTTCGCGGACGCTCACCCGTACCACCGAGGGCTTCTGCTCGGTTTGTTCGTTGGCCGCTTGCTCTGTTGAGCCTTGGTTGCAGCTGTGAGGTTCAACGGTGTTTGGCGAGTCTCTCTTCTTAGAACTTCGTGAAGATTTTGGCGATTTTGAGCTGCTCTTCGGCGTCTTGATGAGGGCTGCTGCTTCATCGGCTTCGTCTCCGCCTTCGATGGCCATCTCCTCTTCAAATGAATCGTCGATGGCGGTTCTTTCAGACTCCAGTGAGCTGTCGCCTGTTGCCACTCGAATTGCAGGAACCGGCTTGGCTTCGACCTGCAAAATGGAGGAGCACGTGAAGGACAAGAAGCTCAAGATCGTGGTGCTCAGCTACGGGCTTCGGTAATTTCGCTTGTCAGAGCGCGCTCAAGACGACGGGAGTATCTACATCTTCTGATTTCGTCAAGAAGCCTGGGCTAAATCTCGATACCGTGGGGAGATTTTCCGGTTTAGTTCTCCGCGAAGAACATCGTCATCAGAAAGCCGCTCGGAATCGCCCTCGAATCCTTCCCAGAAGTCCTCCGCCTGCTGATTTTCTTGCTTATTCCCCCATCTGCGATCTATCTGACCGTCCTTCATTTCAACCTCTTGTTCCTTCAATACTTCCCCCACTGTCTGCGGACCTCCGTTGAAATGCAAATTCTCAAGCAGATGCTTCCGCCCGGCTTAACTTCGGATCAAATAAGAGACTCATAAAAACTTTGTCGACCTGTGCTTCATATTCTCCGCATGATATCATCACTCTGCTGGGCCCCCGACCGAGACGCGGAGATTCCGTGATCTGCGGGAAGACGACGCACAGGGTCGCGGAATGCGTGAGCTTAGCATTCACGCGGGTTATCCGAGCGTGTCATTCCAGTGGGATCGTTTCCGGAACTCCTCCTCCCTCACGGCGAGAGTCCCCGAAGGATATTTCAATCAAGTCGGTCGTGGTCTCTTCAGATGACGCATCGCCTCTATCGAAGCCTATCGCCGATGAATTCTGGAATCCAGCGAATAAGCGAAGGCCTTAGCACGTTCGCTTCCATAGGAATCCCATAGTTTTCATCGGAGATGTGTATGGAGAGATTCGTTGCGGAATCTTTAAATTCCGGACAGGGGGAACCGGAGGCGTGAGTCAGGGCACGTTAGTCCCAAAGTCGCTGCCCCTATCAGACTTTCATTCGAGAGTCGGTGACACCTCAAGCGATTCGAAACAAGCTTTCAAGTCGCTTCTCGACTGAGCCTTGGAGCTGACGAGCTCGATAGCAGCGAACGCGTGGCGGCCGTGATTTGTTCGTTCATGCTCTCGCGAGCGTGGAAGGTGGAGGGGGGCAGGAAGAGTTTGTCAGAGTTTAAATTGTATTCTGGCTTCGGACCTGATTTGCATTCATTACATGGGGATTCAATCTAGGACACAGGTCTGATTGGAGCGCTACGGAGTTGTTTAGGAAGTCCGGAGGGAACTTTTTGTTTTTTACCGCTCCTCTCGCATAGACCTTCGGGTCTTCGAGTCCTGGCGCGGACGCATCTGGATTCCCCCCTTTCAGCTCTCCTAGCTCTCGTCTTGCTGCCCGGATGGCTTTGACAGAGTCCTTCCCGAGTTCGGGAACTTTACCATTAATTCCCCCCTTCCCGCTCCGGCATTCCGAACGCTGAATGCAGAAGCACTTCCGTTATTCACTTCTTACGAAGTCGACTTGACTGGCTACCGACAGGAACGACTCGAGTGACGTTGCTCGTTACTGGCCTGCCTCCGAGAATTCCCTCGTTCAATTCTTGCTCATCACTACTCGAGGCGTCGGAAGAAGTCGTTGACGTCAAGAGCGGGACAGAGGGCCGGTTTCGCGCTCTCGTGGAGCTCTACGATCCTCTGGATCTGCTTTCATGTTCCTCAGCAAGGCAGAATAACGACTTCCCGAAAGAAAGGAGCACGGTTCGATGATGACGTTTGAAGCGAAGATTGAGTGTGGAAGACTACATTCCGTGAGAGTACGTCAGTAAAGTTGCAGACAGCGGGCGGCTACATTTAAGGGAAACGTTTTCGCAGAAAGCTACGGTGACGACGCCAAGGACGGGCTTCGGGCGGTAGGAGTCAGGACACGATCGAGGCTGGAGGATATAGGTTACCAGGCATGACACAAACGACAGGAATACTACTCCAAGCTGAGCTCACAACTATTTCGGGAATTTTAGATGTTCCAGGATTGATCTTAGCGGAGGAAAGGATGTCTCTACAGTTCCGACAGCGAGCTCAAGAGTGATGCGATCCGTGTCGCATTCTGATCTGTGGACGACAATCCTCATTCAAGGGGGAATCCCTCCGACTGAGAGCAGCTCCAGGACTTGGGAATTGAAGAAAGTTCAGGCTTTCTCGGGGGATCGCTCTCGACTTCAAGATCCATAGCGCTTTGGGTGACACAGTTCGCAAATGCACACCTCGAAACTCAGAAACTGAGAGATACATAATCGGGTAATGGGAGGCAGCTACACGGATTTCGGCTCACCTATGTCATACTACAGTCTCGAACTCGTAATTCGGACTTTCGGATTTGGAAACATTGTCTATATCACCTGAAACGCCTTCTGAGATATCTAGAAAGAAAGAGAGAGAGAAAAAGAGAATGATAATCATCGTCATCATGATTATGAGCATCATAAGGACAGTGGGTGAATAAAGTTATTCGAGCTGACCGAAAAATATCACGAAGCGAGAAAGTCTAGGATCATGTGGATAATGGCATACTTCATGGTCAGACCCGACAAAAAACAATTTGACCTCAAAAAGATCTGCCAAAAAATTGAGCTGCATCAGCTCTGATTCAGAACGCCCGCACCGAGACTTCTAGCTAATAACGCCCTCGCAAAAATAGTTCGGTCGACGCCGAGCGTCACATCAGTTTCCACCTCTCCGATGGCCCTTCGGATTTCATGCCGGACTCACTACGCGGATCCCATCGTGAGGGAGACGGTTAAAATAGGTCAGGGTGTGTTTCTGGTCTTGGCGGCATCTCGACTAATAAACAGCATGAGACGAACCGCTTTCGAAAAGAGGGAAATTTCTCGCGGGAATCCTGTGGAAAAACCTTCCGCGGTCCGGAGGCGGAAGCAGGCTTAAGGCGAAGGATGAGACGAAAGTCCTAGGGTTGAGTTAATTCAATCAAGTGTAATATACATCATTCGAATCAAAAGGGAGAAGGCGTTTCATTCGATTTGTCTATGCGATAGTGAGCTGGGCCTAGGAGAGGAGTCTGTGAGGGGTCATGGAAGAATGAAGATGGCAAGAACAGCGAGAACGTAATCGGTCTCGGTCGGAACAGTTCACGAAAATCGGGGTTTCAATCAATCTTCCGGAAACCTCTAGAAAAAATCATCCAACAAGAGAAGCAGTGGGCCTTTGACTCAAATATCGAGAGCTCGTAGCGTCGCATGGAAAACTTATGGCGGTGGAGTAGAAACATTCTCAAAAAAAGCACGGGAACATTCTAAGCGAAAATCGTTCGACGTGTCGAAGCATCAATCGATCAGTGGTACTAAGGAAAATAACGCTCCAACTTTCCGGCGGACGACAAGGGCCTCGAAGGTTCTCGAGACCGTAAAAGGAAGCCTCAAGAGCGCTTCACGCGGCTTGTTCGTGGTGTGACGACAACGACGGCAATGACAACAACAAGGAAAAAAGGTCCCTCTCGCCTCAACTTCTAATGATATTCAACATCTCCCATCCCGTGTCCGGTCGCCGTTGCAACCAACATCACATTCGCGCGTCGAGGTCGTCATTTCCTCGTTAAACAAGGTGTGAGTATCGGCATGTATTCTCACAAGTCGTCTCTGGCCAGGGTTTGGTAAACACGACGAGAGTGCCTCAAAAGCACGTCGAGAACAGAACTAGCGAAGGCGTCGCAGAGAGGAGTAGCTCGAGAGTCGAAAGTCGTGAAAGGAAGCATTCGATTACCGTGAGCGAACCTCAGGGAGGGGGGCGGAATAATCATTCCAAAGGCAGACCATGCCAGCCATTACTCGGGAAAAGAAGGCTGAAGGATGAATTTGATTGGTTCACGTCGCCGCGTCAAGTTATAACTCTCAGCTACGTATGTTTTCGGATTGCTTTGAGAGGCAGAATTCATGTCGGTAAGTCGTACGTGATTTCGGGCAACTCATCCGAGAATTCTGATGCAGGAATGAGACGAAGAATGAGAGCAGTCCGAGAGAAAAATGAATGACGTCTTCTTTCCTTCAGACACGCTTCCTTCTCTGTCTTGGACCACCGCGCCGAATCGAAGTCGCGGAAAACCGCTATCGGATCCCGATCTGCGCAATGATCGAGGCCATATTCCCGGGAACCTTCAGGGAATCGACTCTCCTCCAGGAAGATCGACATCGTAATCTAAGTTTGTTGGCAAGAAAATTATTCGATAGAGCCCATCGAGCTTCCGCCGATCATCCATCCGAGCAAGAATGATAAAGTGCTATCCGGCGACAGAGATGGAGCAATCGAAAATAACAAAAAAACTGGAAAAAATCACCCAATATCGCGAGGTCTGCGCAGAACCACTGCCATGGACCGCCCCTTCCGATCCCCAGGAAGGGTTTCGAATCATACGGGAGAGGCCCTGGAGGGATATTCGTAAAGGATCGATCTAGGGAAACATTCGAAGCTCGTCTACCGAACGACTATCTGTAATCATACCTCCATACGTACATACTGCATATCGAGCTCAAAAAAATAACTCATCTCAGAGATTATCAGTCCGCTCTCAATCAATATATAGTATGCAGCCAAATATTGCCACGGGTCCACAAGTCTGCCATCGGAATCGTCAGAGTACCTTCGATCTCACTCAACAGACAAGATCTGAGAACCTGTGCCTAGGCACAGTCGGTTTCGGAGCGAGTCGGGCTCAAAAATGTCTTGGGAATTCGGGACGCGTGGCAAAGAGAGTTTCAAACGAACCATCTACGTCTAATACGAGCAACCCCGCATCAACATCGATCAGGTGAAACTCCCTTTCCGAAACATGACATGTCCTGCTCATCATTCGGTCAATGTAGTAATTAAGAGAAAATCGAAAAGCATAAAAAGCCAACAAACATACCGTTGGTGGTGATGCTTGAGGTGACGAGGGAGAATCTGAGGTCTGCAGGAGAGACTGAGGAATCACTGGGGGAGACGGGGAGGCCGAGGAACCAATCGTGGATTGGCCCAAGGAACTCGTTTGGGGTGGATAAGAAGGGTAATGAGCGGGAGTTTCTGTTTGAGTATCCTGTAGTTCCGCTAGATGACGAGAGGGGGGAGGGGGAGCAGGACGGGAAGGATCGGGGAGCTGAGGATGATGGTATTGGTGGTGGTGCGAAGGGATTGAGGAGGATAACGGATTGGGAATCGGAGTGGGTGGTGAGTGGGGGGGAGGAGGACTGGATAAGGGAATACCGCTACTGCTATCGAATGCCATCGGAGGGGGACCACCGCCGCCACCGCCATCACCGCCGCTAGAACTGGCTCCTCCCGGCCCACCAGCCGCTGGTGGAGGTGGGGGGGAAGATGTAGCCATGGGCGGAGGAGTAACCGATCTTTGCGAGGGCGCAATAGAGGGGGCTATCGATGGAGGAGGAGGGGGAGGAGGCCCACCGTGTAGTAAACGAGACATTCGAGGGGGAACTGGCTGAACCGGGCCCCGACGATCCTCCATGTACATCTCCAACAGCTGGTCGAGCTTCGACTCGATATCCTCGACAGAGCGTTCGACTTTGACGATGCGCGACGCCAGAGACTGCTTTGAGTCGTAAACATCCTTTGCTTTGGATCCTGCTTTTCCAAGAATCAAGTCGAGTCGCGCCTGAATGTTCTTTGTCCGACCCAACAGGTCCACGTGGCCTGGAATTATGAAGCACACTCGTTTTGATGCTGTTTTTTTTCTATTATTCTTCCATTCAAGGAGTTTTAGGTCTAAGGTCTGTGAGTGATTGGGAAAGTATTTCGAAAGACGGACTCGTGTACCATCTTCTCGAAGGAAAGCAATAATTATCCCATCAGCTGAGACTCGAGGCTTGCGGCTTTATCGTGTGAGAGGTTTCCAGATCCGCCTCGTGGGTGGAAAGGGGAAACGAGAATAGAATCGACTAGATACATCTGCTCGCGATGCGGTCCAGGTCAAGTGGTGAGAAAGGTACCGCGCTCCGTAAGGTAACCCAGAACAAATCCCTCTGGGAGCGTCCAATAACTGTAGTGTGGCGGGGCACCAGCGCGAAGATCGTCGCGTCGTGACTGTCCGTCCAACAATTTTCCAATTCAACACAGATGTCGCACGCGTTCATTTCCGGCCCGGAGCTGCATTTCATCTATGGTGGTCCCCGGCGGAGCGGCGAGCTCCTCGAAGCTCGAAAAACTTGTATGGTATCCTTGCCGGACACGCTTTCTACCCTCTTTCGACGGGGTGCTTTTCTCCAGTGCAGTGAGAGATAATTTCCGGTAGCCGAGGGAGGAAAGTCCATGACCGAAGGAAAAGCCCGGGTTTTCGCGGGTTCTCGGATGCTTCATCATGCGGCTCGCTTTGGAGAACAAGAACTTCTCCTCTAACCTTCGACATTTCGAGACGACGCACGATACGTGCCCTGGCTGTCCGGAAGCTACTGTTACTGCAATCTCCGTTGTTGAGCTACGAGCTAGGGAGCAGTTCGCGCCCTTACTCTCACGTTCGGGACAGACTTGCGCGGAGGCGGAGGATCTCGTCGTAGACCCGTGTCTCGAATGAACTCGGGACTTTGGTTTCGGACAGTCTTCCGCCGGCTCACTCGCCCCGTTTTCCTCTCCCGGCCGGGCATGCTGAGCTCTCAGGTGGAAGGAGGAGGGCCGAGCGGTCTGCCGGATTCTCGCTCCGAGGAAGGTGGACGACGGGATGTTCCGCCCTGAGCCGGGGGCCATGCATGGTTTTCGCGAGAATGAACGTCTCCGGAAAGATTTTCTGATTTCACCTGCAGAGTTTCTTTCTGGGAGCCGTTTCAGCCCCGAAAGATCCGCGGCACAGCGTTTCGGATTTCATGATCGAACATCGCAGGGATCAGACGCTGGGATATCGGGAGAGAACGCGCCCTCAGAAGCCCTGAAAGACCCACGAACAAGCCGACGTCTTTGACTCACCTGCCGAATATTGTTCGATGACGTCTTTTACGTCGTACGGTTTCAATGCCTCCTTGAACTTTCTTCTCGAGACAAAGTACTTGATCTTCCTTAGCGCTCTTATTGCGTTTTTGTGCTGCTTCGTGAGTACAGTTAACTTCGGCTGAGTTTCCTCTGCTTCTTCGTCTGAAAATATCGTACAAGCCTCATGAGTTGCTCGCCTCGTTCCCTCATGCGGGACACGGGAGACGCGTGTCCGCTTCCCTCGCTCGTGTGAGGTGAGCCATCAGAGCACAAACTCGAATGGTTGTGAGAAGTCGTGATACGAAGAGAGGAATTCAAATGATTAATTGATCAGTCAGTCAAGCATTTCGACGCAAACAATCAGTTTCCTCCCTAGTGCCTCTAGGTGATATCACGAGAGGTGCGAACTTTGTGGAAGCCATTCAGTTTCGGGCGAGTTGTCCGTTGCGGTGACCTTCGTTCGAAGGAGTCGCGAGAAGCGTCAAGCTGAAGAGGGAGAGAGACAGCACGCAAGAGAAGAGAGGCCACGGCTCTCGGACCGAATTCATTGAAACCCAGCTTCGCGGTTTATGGATGCAAAGCAGGTGGTTGGCGGCCCTCGGGAAGGACCTCATTAATCAACATAATGGAGCAGTATAGTGATTCGCTCGAGTTCGCTACAAGAGGGAGATCGGATTTTTGAGCTGTCCCGATCCCGTTTTTTCCCGGGGTCAGTGTGCTCGGCCTCGCCTCAGCAGCTTTGGATCGGCGGCAGTCGAAGCCCCAGCACTGAAAGAGATCACTGTTCTAAAACAATGTGCTCTCCTGATCGCTGTGTTGCGCAATTTCGGTGTCATTCACTTGAGAGTGATGATTCGCTTTCACGATGAGGGTCGCATAACTCTCTCGGAATGGTCCATCGCAGGTTTCAGCCACTCAGCACTAGACGAGCCTCTCCAAATAATCCTATTGCTTCCGACCACTATTCGTCAGTCTTACGACTTCGATTAGAAACTCCGAAAATACCGATGATTATAATGAAGAATTGGACAGCCATGGTTGTCACCGGAGGGTCACAGGTATTCCTGTGACCTATCTGGGAAGATGTCAAATTTCTAGGCAAGGATTTCCTACGGGCAACAACAACAGGGATAACGGAGACGCAATAACAGCAGCACCAACGTGGCAATGTGGCCCCAAGTAAAGACTACGACAAAAAATACACTCATTCGCTTAGAATTGAAATTAACCGGGTCTGGTCAGGAGTTGGAGACAATCGCGGCGGGTCTGCGCTCAAACTGAATTAAAGAGGATTACAGCTACATCGACATCTACGACAGCGCTTACTTGAGCGTTATAGTGAGAACAACAACGAAAACATCAATCACAACCACGACATCAGTAATCTCTGCCATAGGAAATTGAGGTTTCGCAGGAAATCGCTGGTTCTTACCAATAATCACAATGTCGATACTTGGCGGGGAGGTCTCTGCCTCTGAAACATAACGACTCGGCTGACTCAACATCATCACAATCTCGGGAGTGAGACTGATTTATTTTCCCGAAGTAGTAGATTCTCAAATCCAAACATTGTCTTCGTGGCAGGTCATTGACTCTGATCGATGACACACGGCCTCGAGATAATTTATTCTTCCCTTGCGTTGACCGTTAGCAGGAAGGAACACAGGTCTTCTCTAACAACTCGCATCTATCCTACTCATCGGTGACACGGAATGATCGAACGCCTTCAGACTGAGTTGAATCAATTATTTTTCGGAGTCAGGGTAAGTCACAGAGAAGGATTCGGCGGTTGTAACATGTTTGTTGACGGGGCACAAAGCTCGAGACGCCTTACAATTGTGCGGGATGTCGGCTCTCTCCCCATACGTTCCGAAATGAATCCCCCTGCGGGGACCTACCATTCCCCCTGAGAGCTCAAGTCACCAATGGAAGTCTAACGACTGGACCCAAACGAAATACGGGAAGGGAGACTTCGACTGGATTTTCCCGGCGCCCACGTATTCCAGCCACCGAGGGGCGGGCTGAGCACTCATCGTGCTCCGGAAAGTCATCTCCGGATCGATATGGGAGCCACAGGATACTGGAATCGATCGATCGTAAGAATTGATTGATTGATCGAACGATTTACAGTGGATCGCACAGACAGGTCGTTGGGGTCACGAGCAGACGGACGAACGGACGGACGCACGCACGCACGCACTACTGAAAGGCAACTGTTACGACGAGCGTGGTGGATGCGGCGGTGGCGTGGGTTAGCTGCTGCCATAATGCCCCCGGTCGGTTCCGAAGCAATCAAGCTTCCATTGGTTCGCTGCAGCGACTGCGTTTGGCTTTGCTTACCATCGACCACCTGCATCGTTGGAGTTGTTGGTCTCGACCGCCTGGTGCTCAACGTTCGGAGCACTCTGGCTGCCAAACTACACGGTTTACAAGATAATGGGGTGTGGAATGGATCTGAAAGAACATTTTCGCTGACCCTCTATCATTATAGAGACAACTTGGAAGCCGAAAGCATCGAAGCCAGTTGCTGATAAAAAAGATAACTGCTGTCAGTCCCGGTCGACGTTCCTCCTCCGACCGACAAGAGCACGACAATTACTATCCCGAGTGTTACGATCGCTTCGGATGGCTTCTAGTATGGTAGTGATTAGCGATCACGATCGCTTAGATTCGAAAGCATCGTGTCTGACGGTGACCGGGAATGGTTCTGAGACCTCTCGCGGAGCTCCCACCCTCACCGAGCCGACAACCACCACGCGTGTCGAAGTGAGCCTTCCATGACTGAGCGATGGATCCTGCGGCTTGATGACCTGCGAAAGGACCGGGTGGGTACCCACCAGCAGCCGATGGTATCGGAAGGGGAAGCTCTTCGAACGAACGAGGTTTTCGAGCCTCTAACCGCGAGGTTGAATTTTCATTTGTAGAAACAAATCCCGATCTCCCTCGGGCACACAGCCTCCGACATCGGGAACGGAGTGACTACGGAAAATGCTCCCTCAGTAGACGAGTGAGGCGTTTCAGATCGCGCAACCATGTTCTGTGCAAAGCGGTGCAGCACGCCGACGTGAGATTTCTATCTAGAGAACGAGATATCGGGATAGGTAGCGCGAGGAGCTGATTCCAAGTCGTGATACGGACCATGACGGCTCGGCCGCTGAGCGAAGGAGGAGCTTCCGGATTCTCGGGGAACACGCAGCTCGTGCAGAGGCACTCGTATGTCCTTTGTACATTCATAAACGGTCTTTGAGAACGTTCAGCTCCCGACTGATTTGCATCTAGAATGCGAACCCGTTCAATACGTTCGAACGCGTTTAACACGGGTTCCGAGGCGAATCAGCCGGCGAGCTCCTTGAAGGTGAGCTTCAATGTCAAGCCTGAACGTCGGTGACAGGCTACATGCGTGAGACAATACATCGACGGATCGATTTCCGACGACGACCACCACTTCCGTCGTGTATCGGTGTGAACGACAAGACAATCACTCAGTCAGTCAGTCAGTCAGTCAGTCTATTGAAGGAGCTTGTTGAGTAAGGACAGCCAGGAAAGAACAGAGAAAGGAATAGAGAGGTATGCGGCAGTCGACTCTCTGTCAGTGACGCAGGGTTTTTCGTGTCGCGGGGATCGGGACGTCGTCCACGGTGATCGAGTAGAAAAGATAGGATGTGGGGTTGCGGGTGTTCTCTTTCGGCTGTTGTGATTCGCACAGGAGAGACAGGAGAGCGGTCTAGAGTCACACAGCGATTTGCGAAGTGTTGCGACGAAAATTCATCATCAACGCAATTTCACCTGTTTCTGCAGACGACCTGAGGCCCGGAGAAAGTGCAAGAAATGGAGGATGCACAAACTCCTTCTGGAGCAACATACAAAGGCCATATGGGGTCGTTTCGTCGTCAACGCTGCAGTCTAGAAAACAGATTTTTTCGTCATGTTAGATCGATGCAGCCGCCCGCATCTCCGACAGTAGGATAGGAGTCGCATTTGCTCGAGATCGCGGCGAAATTACGATTGCGTTTGGTATGCCTCAGCACCGTATTCTCCGGTTTCGGCGATAGTGTTTGAGGCTGGGATTGTGTTTGAAGCGGGAGACAATCGCAAACGAGAGCTCAAGTCTCGAGGAAGAGGGAGACGGACGGGGAGGACTTAGCGGGAGGCATCACGGGGGGGGCGAGGAATCAAGAGACGTTCATTCTCCGCATATCGCGACGGGGCAGGAGGGTATGGGGGTCGAAGGCCATCATTCCGTTCGTTCCTTGGCGCATTCATTCGACGAGCGATCCATCCATCGCTCGGCTAACCAAATCGATCACAGGGAATAATCTCCTCAAACTATTATAATTGGGTTGAAGTTTTCGGCGGGGACTTTGCTCCAGAGGCACGAGTAGCAGAATGGAGCGAAATGGAGAAGGGATAATGAACCGCGCGCATGGATTCCGCATCTGTCGACGAACTTGGAGTTTGTTTGCCTCCGATCAGGCAAGTATGGGAACCTCGACCGAAAGCAGCCCTCGTCTTGTGGGAATCTTCCTTGGAGTCAGATCGGGCAATCGTTTTCTGTGTTGAAAGCCCGACTTTCGAGATAATCAGCATATCTTCGCATCTCCGATAGGGATGCTGAGCGACGCGAAGCGAGCTCTAGGACTTCACACGTACGGGAAACGCTGGATTCGAAAGGAATTTTACGGTCGGGTCGACACGAATAGAGAGTCGTGACGTTCCTTTAGGAGCGGACGGAGTCATAAATAACCGGCGAATGCAAACCGTTGTCGTCGACGGTGTTGTCAATCGGGATTCATAGACGGTCTATAAAGCGACGGTAACCCGCATCGGTCTGATTTGCTCACCGCTAGATTAGGCTAGAAGGATATACGATATTCGCCGCAGTTTCAATTGAACAGTACGGTGCTACAACTGTCACGGCGAGACTTCAAGACTAGGGTCACAAACACCACAGAGCCGGATTTGATTACATCGATTGGGGGCCCGTAGGGTTCTCCCTGCCCTCAGAAAACTCGTCGATGTGGCGGCAGGTCCTACGGATCGAGTTTCGAGCCCGCGGTGTCGACACTATATATTTAGGGAAGCGGCTTGTAGGTTTGTTTCGTTCGGAATAAGTTCCGCGTTCCTAGTTCATGAATATCGTCCCTAGAAGAGCAAGATTCAATCCGAATGAAAATTCCGAACTTACCGTCCGAATTTCGCTTAGACGCAGAATCCGATATAGCGTCGGTTTCGTGGCTATAACTAGTTGGCGGCAGTCGGGACGGGGCGCAAGACTCGCCTGAAGTGTCATGAGGTCCCGTCCTCGACAGCGGGGAGTGTGGCAAGTGGGAACCGTGTTGGGGATGGTGACGGCCTCTTCGAATTGTCGACAGCCGCGAGACGAAGGACGTGTTGTGCTTGAATCTGTCCGTCCTCGTGGAAAATTCAAAGTTAGTCAACTGTTCCGCAGAGCCGGCTCCGGGGCTGATTGCGTCTATATGCCCAAGCGGCACACTAATAATCAAAAATATCGGACTCGATGATCGCTGACGCGTCTTGAGCGGGAGCCTAGCAGTGGAAGAACTCGGTGTGGGAGACCTCAAGGAATCCTGGATGCCCCACGTGATGAGCTACCGAAGAGGCCACTGAGCTACTTGACCAAACATAAATGAATGAACGCTTCGATTGATCACTAGCCATATGTCACGACAGTAATCATTCGAGGCGTTTCGAGTCACCTGCTCAACAGGCCTTGGCTGATTGAGCAAATCAATCTCTTTCCTTGAATTTCTCATCCTTCCTTGAACTTCCTCGAACTACAGAGTGCCCAAGTTTTCTCGCTCGAAACATCATGATCAAGCAGGAAGAGCGGACTGGAGAGGTGAGGGTCACGAATTTCGCGACGTGAGCTCGACTCATATCCATGCAATGTCCGAGTCTCTTGGAAGATAATTGACGATACCGATCGAGGAAGACGGAAACAAGTGCGAGCAGACGCCTAACGATTATAACATGATAAATGAGAAAAGCTTCTTGTGCGTAGTATAGATTTCAGTTCTCAAAGCTCACTACTCAAGCGCATCCGAATCGACGCCGACAGATTTTTCGAGACCGGGCAGCTCGATGGAGGAGATGAAAGATGCTGGTTACTTGGGCGTTGGGGGAAATAGCAACTGCCTCGAGAGATACGTCCGGAGGAACAAGAAGTAGTGCGATGTGAGGGGAGTTCTCAGGAATGGAATAGAGTCGAGCGGGAATCGATTCCTCTGGAGTGACGAAGCCCATGAGCTGGGGATCGCGGGTAGTGTTTCAGTGGAACACGACAAACTTTCTTCAAGAAATTAAGCGGATGCGAGGAGAAGCTTTGGGGAAGACACTTACAGATTTGGACCCGCCTTTGGGGGCAGATCGAGTCGATCTCTTCTTGTCTTTGATTGAGTGAATGAACCATATCTGTGGGCATAACGTGACGAAGTGGTGAGTGCTCTCCGGTGCCGTAGGCTCGCAGTGAGATAGATCTAGGTCGTTCGTTCGATAAAGAATAGCGCAGACCAGAGGGGATGTCAAGAAGAAGAGTTTCGAACAGAACTTCGCCTCGACGAACTCAGCTATAACTTTTCTAATGATTGGATTCAGAGTGTTCGAGGTTCAAGTGCTGGAAAGAGTGCTGGCACATTTCCTCTTTGTAGTTCTAATTCACGAGAGTAAACCGAATGAAATCGACTGAATCTCCGTTCCGAAATGAGGGAGATTGCCATTGCCGAACATCAGACAAAACAGACCTCCTCCCGACCCTTCTCTCCGACCGTCGGGAAAGTTCAATTCGCTGACCAACGCCCGAGAACTCTGATTCGATGGAGGTCCGAAGCGCACATGTTCCCACTTTGTAAGCTCATTTTCCCTCCGCCCCTGCGGATTTTATCGAAATGGAATTTCGTGGTCAGTTCCACCAGCTTCCCCGATCGAGCGATTTCCGAACCTAAGTGATCACTCGAAGGAAGTCGAGTCTCTCGCCCCATTGTCCTCGGGTAAATGAAAAAGACAGCGATGAGAGGCTACGGGAGTTTCCATTATCGCCAATCGCTCTGCAAGCTATTCCCCCCTCCCCCACCTCTGAGTAAATTGTACGCTGGTCCATTCGATAAATGGAGAACTAGCGAAGTCTCTCATCCGAGGCGCCGCTCGGCTTGATTCTGATTCGAAGAGAGAGACATAGGGGCCGCTTGAGCTCCTTGACGTCTCTAATTCGGCGCTTGCGAATAAGAGCCCGCGCATATATGTACGTGTACTCGCGAGATCAACGGATCCGCTCAATCAGACGGGAAACGAATGTCGCCTAGCCGCAGCCCACTTGTCGTCCGTTGGGTGGAGTTCTTCCAACATTACATGGAAAGGTCGGGCTCTGTAAAAGTGATTACTGTCCGGGGTCAGTGGCGGGAGAGGGAGAAGACACCCGAGAAGCGACTCGTCTCGGAACGAATCCGAATGGAAACTCCGTCCTGTTCGCTCGTACCCGATTCACGAATCCTTCCCGCAGTTGGAACGAGCGGCAATATTCTTGCCTCTCGAATTTCCGAGAGCTGAAGAATGAGGTCTGAGGTCAGGGGGTAAAGAGGGACCATTCTCGTCCGGGTCGAAACCTCTAAATATTCCAACCCGGGCGAGAGACTCGATCAGCTCTCGTGGAGACGAAAACTTTCAAAAGAGTTGGGCTAGTATTTGGTCTCGACGATCTGTCTCGCTCGGGACTCGGGATTCTGTTGGGAAAGTAACTTTGTGCTGGAGCTCGGCCGATTATTCAATCTATATGAGTCGCCGAGCTTCCCGGATTAACATCGATTTGGATTATCGGACTGCTTGATCAAGTCAATTAGTCGAAATTCTAGGTGCGCGCAGATGGTTCCATGATGATGCGGAGGCTGTATAATCTCTGGGCTGGTAGGCAAGATTAGAGAAACTTCGCCCATAGTCGATCTAAATTAACGATACTCACGTGGGTGGACTGGGCAGGGGGACCTGGTGGATCTTCCATGTAGCTACGGACATGGAGTTCTCATCGGCTGCGTAACACCTCCAAAGACATTGAATTAGAGTAGCTGCGGGGACCCGCCGACGAATCATGTGTTTCTGCCGTTGCTGTTGCTGAACTTTCAGGGCGAACCCGGAACCTGTTCGAAATTCAACAGGAACGTAATTTAATCCGAGTCCTCGGAAACGAGCTTCCTCCATTGAATTGGTTCCGAAGCCTCATTGAGAGAATCTCAGCGGTGATCGAGGATTGTATACGCAGCGCTTTTCGGTAGGGAACCCCCCGATGAGAGGAACAAGATCCTTCGAGAGGTCGGGACCGACTCTTCTTTAATCGAGGATGAGCTCAATCGACGACCTCACATCTTTAGAGCCCGACGTGTAGAGATTATGGTTCCTCGCCCCCGCATGAGCGGTCTCCACGTCCTCTTCGAAGATTTCGGCCGTCTAGAGCGGCCTTGGAGCCCTAATAGCCGTAATTAGGCGTCTGAATCGAGCATGGTGCGGATATGGTCCACCTCTGAGACTGACAACCTTTGACCGCGAGCTCGAGACGGAACGCAACGTTTCGGAAAAACACTATCATTTCACTTCAGCACTAGCAAACACATTTCAGCATCACTCACCTAAAATTCCGGCAGGGAGGGCGAAAAACGAGATGCCCATAAGCGCACAGCACGATGCTATCAGCTTTCCGGGCCACGTGACGGGGACAGTGTCTCCGTATCCTACAGTACACAGTGTGATTACACCCCACCAGAGAGCGTCCGCAAAATTGCCAAACTTTGTTTTGTTCACTTCTTTTTCGGCAAGGTATACCAAAAACGAGCTAAAAATCAATCCTGAAAGGAAAAAAATCAGTGAATGAAGGACGTCCCGATACTTCGAGCATTCGGAAGGATTCCCGAAAAGCATGAGAACTCGGACCGGGGATTTCGATTGTATGAGTGAAACTTGAATGATTCGCAGTGTGTCCCGCGCTACTTGACCGAGAGGAGCACCCAGACCGTACCGAGTCTCATCCTCCCATAGAGGAAATTTTCGGGTCTGAACTTCGCACACCCGTAAGAAGACGAAGATTCGCGACGACATCATTGGATGAGAAGTACCGAGGCTTCAGGGAACCTGCATTTTCTCCGATGTGAATCGGCGAGGACCTCAAGCTCATCCTATTTTCGGAGTTGTCCCATGAATTAAAAGCAGTTGCCTACAATTTGTTGCGACACGAAAGAATTCCCCCACCATCGTTTCCTTTCCTCGAAAAAATTCGTCTCTCGACACTTTGGGGAGGTCGTAGCCGTCCGCTCGGCTCTCCAGCAAGAGAGGTCGATCGATCCAGTAGATCAGGATGTAGGCGCCCCATAGCAGACTCCTTGTCGCACGATCGGGCGCTGCAAATTTGATTGCTAGGACTTGGAAGATGTTGCACAGTGAGCGAGCACCATTCTTCTTTCCACCGTTCCCACGTCCGACGTGCGCTCAGCAAATGCACGGAGTGGAAATTCCCCTGCTGCCGGCACTCAAGCCGCGCCACGAAGTGTTTTCTAGACGGCTCCAACAAACAATTTCTCGAGTTCCTGCATGCGAGGCCAGCCGACGATATGCGCGGGAACGGATACGTCGATCGCGAGCTCACCTACTCGATCAAGCGATCGATTGAATCGGAGCTCCATTGACTCGTCGACCGGAGGGAGATGATACATCGCTGTTGCCTACACTTCGCACGTGAGTCAATGAAGTCAAGGGAACGTGTAACGTCCCCAAGGCTCTCCGGTGGACTTTGAGGCGACCTTCTCGCTGGGTTTCTCGGGGGCCACGTCGCAGGCTTTCCATCTCGATCTCGTTCGTAAGTCTTTCGACATCGAGGGTTTCGCTGTCGATGAAAAAGCTCCGATGGAACCGAGGATTCTCCTTTTCGGCAGCGGTGAGATTTCCTCGACCCCGTCGCCTGCTTGATGAGACCCGAAGCAGGCTTCGATTCACGGCGACATCGGTGTGCGCTGGAGAGGGCTTCGACAACTCGCTTCGTCATCGACGACTTCTTGGCAGGAAACATATTGCTCTACGGTTCGGCTTGATTGACGGCAAAGCCGATCTTGGACAACACACTGGACTCTCACAAGGTATTAACACATGCCGCTCTCAATAAATCATCGGATGATTGTTCAGCTCGGGGAGAGCACGGATCTACTACTGATTCCGTCGGTGATTTTTCCAAGTCACTCACAAAGGCCGCTAAACAAACACGGGACATCCCTTTAATATGACCGGAGGAGCGAACATTATCCTACACGAGAAAAGATTCGCCCTCGAACCGGTGTTTCCCGTTCTCTCAGCTCATCATGCCGTCGTTTCCATCATCGCACACGAGCATTACATTTCCACCGACAGCCAACCACTGAGGGCGAGCCGGCCGGAATAGGACGTGCCTTGGCAGTTCACAGGGCCGGCGACAAAACCGGCCCACGATTTCCTTAGCGATGGCGGAGCCGAGCCCTAAATTACAGGAAGCCTCGACGACGAAAGCATGAAAAATACCATCACTGGTTCCGGGAAACCTGCATTCGGACTTATCGGAATATCCAGACGCGTCCCTGGTACTCTCAGAGGAATCGATGTAAGGGCTCCCGAGAGGGCTCTAGCTCGAGTCGTTCTGAGGAAATGCAGCGCGATCAAAAACAAACGAACACCACGGTTGAAAGCGAAATTCCCGCGACACTCATCGCGAGCAGGTGAGCGACATAAAGGCCGTCGAGCCAAGTCGACGGAGGGAGATGAGAAACAAATGTTTGACCAGTTTTCAGGGCCCAGAGCAGCGCTGCCGATCATGGCGGCACCGCATAGGCAAATGCAGTTTCACGCTTCGGTTCAGGCGTTCGCTTCAAATGACCGCCGCTGCGACGAACGTTTCAGAGCGTCTTTGACCGGCGATGTGAAAACGCAGCCGGGAAGTTTCTTTCTGCTCCACAGCTCAGTCCTGCGCGTTCACAGCGAGCTGTCGGTGAAAAACTCTCGGAGTGCACATCACCCGAGCCCGGGAGTTTCGCTTATGCGAAATTCGACCCGCAAGCGAGCGTCGGTCCCCGCCGGCGCGCCGGACCCTCCACCGTGATTGTCTCGAGCAATTAGAGATGATCGGTGCAAGTCCGACTCCAGAGAGACACATCGCTGGCGATTTGAGATGGCACCACGGAGGAGTGCGGCTTTCCGACGCCGTCGACTCGATTCCCTGCCGAAGCTCAGTCTCATGTTTCTCTCGAAGTGAAAAAACATACGCAACGTACTAATGGAAGCCCGATACCATTCGTTCACCGATCGACCGACTGAGAGGCGGAACATTTGAAACAGAGAGAGGAGCCATCCATCTCAAATGGATAGCTAGATAAAGATTACTTGCGATAACCGAGTTTCGCTTGATGAGACTGCACAGCCACGAGCCTAGTGCCCGACAGCGGAAGGCTTTCAACGGATCCCAGTATCTCCGTCGCTTCTGGAGCATTCCCGCAGCCCTTGGAGGCGACAATCGTTTCCCGAGAAATCCTTGGAATCAGTGGGCGAGCGTCATCGAGACCGCTGCCACAAGGAATAGCACCGACGACCGTTCCTTTGTTTCTCTCTTAGACCGCTCTGTGGAAGCGGACCGTCTGTTCTAAATGAGAGAAGATCGAATCGGCTGCTCAGTCCCCAGCTGAAGAGAAATCGTTGCGCATTTCGGCAAAAGTCAAGCCGAAATCCGGGTCTCCCATTGTTACGCAGTCTCCGAGCTGTTGCTCAGAGAACGACACGCAACTTCCGCGCACCCTCCATATCTTCGGCCAGACGTGGGATGAGATTTGTTGTTGCCCAAGCAGCACATTTCCCCATATCGCGACGTGGGTAAACACCGGTATCTGCTTCGGAGTGGGTGAAAGTAGGGGGAAAACCGCCGTTTATCGTGGTGGAAGTTTTCTTCGGCATTGTGCGGCAAGCATTCAAATCTGACCCGGCGTCTAGTCAATCAATCCTGTTGCTCATACCTCGCGCAATAAGGCGGAGGTCGACAACAGCAGGAAGTAAGTCGGAAGTGCTCTGCCCGTCGTACATGATTGGTCCCGGGTAGGTCGAGAGATTCACGCCTGCAATTCGATCTCCGAGGTTGCTCGAAAGTGTTTTCCGCCGGGTGGGGACGTCTAGTCGACAGCAGTCAATAGGCAGTCAATCGTCATAGAAACGTCAGAGTCGAAGCTCGAGGTCGTCGGCTTGAGCAGATCGTGCCACAGCTATAGGAGTGAGTTTCCAAAGTATTGAGGGGGACCAGGAAAACTAGAGCAGACGAAGTTCTCAGACGAAATCATTGGAGGCGACTCGTGTATTCATTTCCGGTTCCCGATTGGGAATCCGTCATGTTTCCTCCCTAGGAGATGTATCGATTCCGATGGAGTATGCGAAGGTCATGTTACCAGTTTGAGAAACAGCGACGAACTCCCGAGTCTCCTCGAGAGTGAAGCATTCCGAGCGATCGCTTGAAATTTTATTCCGAGAAACCGGAACGCCTCCAAGGGCTCAAAGACTCAAAATCAAGGAGCTCATCCCCAGCTGCAATCAGAGCAGTCATGCGGGGGAACTTTGTGCACCGAGACAATAAAGACACGTTTAGCATTATCTTCATCGAGCAGATGCCGCGCTCGTCAGCAGCTTCTTCTCAAGCTCCGCTCGAATAATAAGACTCACGCGAGCTCCCACGCCTCCTCTGTCGCCTCTGCGTGAAAAGCCTCGTGATTTCCGCGGGGGGTCCACGTGGCTAGATCATCCTCTTGATCCTCACAAGTTTCTGTGGCGAGAGAAAACCGTCTTCGGTGATAAACGTCGAGGAAGAAAGGAATCCAGCGGAGCAACGTTTGCTCGAGCCCATCGGCTGATGGTGCTCCTCAGTATCATTTGCTGGCGCACACATTCGGGCGGTATCTCCACGATGCCTTCGGGCGTGCATTCCGCGCTTTTGTCTTGGCCGCGAATTTGCCTGCTCGATTTCTCGGAAGTCGAATCGGTGATAATGTATTCGACCGACCTCAGACGGACTGAACGGCAATGTCTTCTGGCTCCTGCACTTGAGAGCAGAAGCCAGAAAGGTGGTAGTAGAGTTCCCTGCTCTCGACTGCCGACAAGAGAGCGTCACTCGAGGTCGTCGAGAATCGTCCGATGGCTTTCGCACGAGTGGAACTCGAAAATTTCGTTATCGCTAAGCTTTTCGCGACTCGCCAACATCCTTGTTCGTCGTGGGACGACAGAGAGCGAGTCGAGCGCTCGATTCGGAGCTGCTCACTCGGTTTTGTAGACGGAAGGTGGCCACAGCTTGCTGAAGAGCATCCGTTCTCGTTAGGTGACTTCCGTTTCCGCTTTCCACCTCATTGCACCGATGGCTCTCCGCCGACGGTGGTGGCTTGTTTGGCTAACGTGGCCGTCTGCCTAGCTAACGGTTCTTAGTCGGTCGTTTCGTTTCGCTGCGGAGTCACATTAGCTTTTGAATGTAACCCATGACGCGGCAATGCACGGCCGATGTTGACGCAAGAATAGGCAGCCACCTGCGCTTCGTTTAGCCTGCATCACACCTTCGAGCTCCTCTTAGAAACTTCATTTTCCTGGTCGGTGTGTCCCGGTGATTTCCCTCAGAGATTGAGCTTGCAGGAGTTTCGCTCATTCACTTGTTGCGGGAAACGATACCGTTGGGAGTCGACCGCTCGTTGAGGGCTCGGGAACCAGCGGAACTCAGCCAGGTCGCCACTAAATCATAGCGATGAGCGGGAATCAGAAACTCTCCCGGGGAACTTCCCTGGAGTGTGTGGCTCATGGTGGAAGGAGGTTTTTCGGGCTTGTTAATTTCTCTCCAGTTTGCTAGTTTAATCTCCACGGAAGTTGCCACGGCGATCCGAGACTCCACTCGACTCAGGAGCGAGCATTTCCTCCGCATATTTCCTCAAAGTTGGTTGACGCCGAACTGAAACTCGGTCGCAAGCTCTGACGGCAGTCGACTTCGCCAGCTTCCCCGCCTCCGAGAGGGACCCAGCCCGAAGAAGTCAGTCGGAGTTCTTCCGGGATCCGTGAGCCCGCCAGCTTGCATCGAGAGGCGGGCGAGGGGCAAACGAAAGGAGACTTCATGAGTGTACGAGAAAGAATATGAGGAATTCGGGCTCCCTCTACGTAATCGGTTTCCGCCGTCCGCCGACGGGGAATGTCTCGGAGTTTCTTAGCTGGAATCTGCGCAAATTTTTCTCCCGTGTCTACGGCTGCGTCCGCTGCCCGTACCGGGCGAAGGCTATCACGGTGTCGTAGTAACGAAGTTTCATAGAATGCGGGAGCTCTACTCTCTCTTGGTGTGGGAGTTTGTCGACGGTCGCTCAGCGCGTCGACTTGACATGTTGCTGCAAAGCACCGCTGTCTGAGTTAACGAGATGGGGCAGCTGACTCCTCTCCAGTCCGAGTAACTTCAAGCCGTCTCGAATACGCCATGAGATAATGAGTGCGGTGAGCTCAGTCTCAAGGGATTTCAAATTGTCAACAGGAAACCCGCGAAAAACGAGTGAATGACTTAATCGATGAAGTGACAGTGAACGGAAGAGAAAATGTTTTCTCCGCGAATCGGAGACCTCCGTATCTGGACTAATGGCGGATCGCCGGGATTGGTTCTTTGTCGTTGTTTGCCAGCAAGCTGCCAATCTCACCGATTCAGACGCAATTCTCCGCGTGCTATTCCGACTTAAATTTCCCGCTTCGCAATGCGGAAGGGGCTTCGGGTGTGTACCGCGAGCCGTCTCCGGACGGTCGCCCTTCCGCTCGATGTATCGACCGATCGAATACTTGATTGACAAAGCCCAGCTTGCTCACAATGAGCGTCTAGTGGAATCCCGCGGAGGTTACTCCATCGTTAATTGGGAAGCGTCTCTGGCGGGGATTTGTTTCTCTATCCGTCAGAAGAGACGCATTGTTCTGCGAGACCCGACCTGTGCGATCGCTCAGGAACCTTCCGCTGCCTCAGCTGAGTCGGGGTAAACTTCGCAAGAGTGGCCGAGAAAAGTGAAACCGATTTCGCAGTTGCGCTCCGCAGGGAGACCCGATGCATTCCGGTTCCGAATGGAAAAGCCCAGTGGGAGAACGACCTCAGGCTTTGAGTAGTTGAGCAACGTTCCTGATAGGATCATTCGTCATTTCATTTGCTGTCTCGTCCTCGATGGGAGACGAAAGTTTTCAGCCCGGCTTCCAGACGCTTTGTTCTTCAATTAGGTTGTTTTTTTCCCGGTCAACGCGGTGGGTCCCGACCGAGAAAAAACGAATTCACCAAGCGTCCGCTTTGTCTGGCCGAGCCTTGTGCGAGCGCTCTCAGCTCTGTAGCGACTTAATACGAGACCTATGAAACGCACGCGGCGAACACACTGGTCGACATGAGCACGGACCGTTCGTCTATGTAAACATATTCAGGGCGGTGAGGAAGGCGCTGAGGGACGTCAAAAATGCAGTGATCACGTGACTGGAGCAAAGGTCAAAACACAGTCGGATCACTTGAAATCCTTCCCCTTTGGTACGCGTACCCGTGTGAGATCCGCATTCGTTGACTCGGGCGACGTCGACCGGCGTACGAAGGAACTCTCAAAACTAGACCAAGCACATTCACGTGAACAACTCCCGAGAGACATCCGGAACGGACGTATGTATGTTGTTTCATTTGGTGGAAGTCGATTCTTCTGGACGGCGGGCGAGCTTTCCCGCCGGAAGACAAGGGATTGCAGGGATCGAGAGGACAAAAATTCACGAATGAATCGCGATCCGGTGGGGAACAGGAACACGGGCCCCTAATGATAACGTCAAGGAGAGAGGAGCGACCCGTAGTTGCTCTGCGTATCGATGGCAGGGGGCTTCTCCGCTTTACGTTACTGTCGTATACGGTTTCTCAGCGAACCCGAACACTTCCCATCGAGTTCGTATCCACGGGTCTACTGGGTACGCTTTGTTCTCTTTGAACGTAATCGCTGCTCCTCTCGTTCAGTGAGCTAATTGAACCGAAGGAGGGAGACGGAGTTTGCATACGAAACGATCTTTATCCGCTTTCCACAGCAGGTGCGAACGACATCGAATCATTGAGCTCAACTGTGTCTCACTCAGCTTTTCGCGGAGCCAGCGACAGCCGCCGCGCCGCCTGGACTCGTATCGCCTGTCTGCGGCGTTCGATCAATCCTGCCCCGCGTAAGCGGCGGAACGAATCGACGGATATGCTTTCCGAGGCGAATCACTGGACGGGCGAGCCTTCAGGAGCCTTCGCGCCCAGCACGCGATCGCGAGCAGATTCCATCAGCCTCGGAACAATGCTTCAGGCTAGAAGTCCATCGTCCGTCTCGAGTCTCCGGTTTCGCTCTCTTTTCCTCCTGTCAGCTCTCCAACAGGGCGCATCGGGATTGTCGGCGAGACACGCGGCGTCTCGCTCGCGGCAAACCGGAGCCGAGTCGATGGTCTCGTTCCGAACAGATCTTAAAACACGTAAGAGCAGGGGTGCGGGGTTAACAATGAAACGCACATATAGTAAAATGAAAGAATTGTTTTTCAAGCGGAAAACGGAGTCTGAGCAGCTCTAGGCGAGCGAGCGAGGTTGCCGAACCGCATCCCGCATCTTTTATCCGGAAGGAGGCTCGGAATGGAACAGACGTCCAACGAATCCTCCATGTAGTGAAGAATTCGGCACGTGGCCGAGAAGGTCGCAAGTCGCGAGTCCTCCAAATATTCGCGGTGGAAAGAAGTTCTGCGGGGCGACGGGTGAGTCATAAAGAAAATAGAATTCCCGAGAAAGTTCTCGAAAAGTTTTATTGTTTTCCTCTCTGGTCTTGCCACGATCGTTCCGATTCGTCGCATCGTCCAAGAACATTCACGAGTTCACTTCACGTAGCGATGTTACGACAAACTCGACACAGAGCAGGAAAGGGTCGACAAATGCCCTTGTCGAACGACGTACGACGTCGACTCTGCGATCTCGACAAGGACCCCGAGGAGCTGCGCGACTGCTTGGGCGTACTGCACTCAAATTCATTGATGTCATCCTTCACTTGTTTCTCGGAATGGGGGGCATCGTGAAGTATGACTGCAGGGACGCTTTCATCGTTCGGGAGACGACGCAAATTCATATGAACAACACTCTGGAGATCAGACGCCGCAGCGGTGAATTTCTTCGGATGAATCATGGCAGTGCTCCGAAGGTTCATCTGGGTTGCTTGTGGAAAACTCTCCAAAGAAAGTTATCCGTACCCGAGAAGTTTAAACAGGGGGTGACCATAGCTCAGATGGCTTTCAACGGTTCCGGCCCGAGCGCTCTCCGGAACCTTGGTCAGGTCACCACAACGAGGGTCAGAGAGAAGGCGGAGGGGACCCGTGTTTCGGCGATAATTCTACTGCCGAGCGAACATATCGACGAGTCGTTGCCCTCTGCCTTTTTCCATCGGAACTGACTTCATCAACGGGGACGAGCTCTCGATGAGCGGTCATCAGAAGCTCATCGCGATTTCATCGTGTGTTGTGAGTTCGGCGGAATAACAATAGCCTCACCGCCGACCTACTCCAACTGAGGGAGAAGTATTATGGAAGTCCCCTATCTGCTTATCCCGACGATGCGTCGCGAGGCTTCGCGTGTCCGGCGTAGCGGGAAGTCGGTCGCCGCTCGGTCAGCGGGGTGAGTAAAGTGGCGTCTCTCGACTAGTGCTGGCGATTCAATTACGATGCGAGCCGTACTACTCAAGCTGAATATGTAAGCCGAGTGTTTATGTATCATCTCATCATCAGCGCGCGCAGGGTGTGGTCACCGGCTTGACAAATGGAAACGACCCCCGGGCCCATTATAGTTGTTGCTCTCAACAAACAGCAAACAATCCGATGGTCGAAGAAGAGCCGAGAGGGTTTTTTGTCCCCTATGGGAGATCACCAGCAGCAGCTCCGAGCTCCCTCCGTCGACCTCGACATAGACAGCGCGATGGCGGGCAAACATATAGCCAGACCGACATACGGATGGATCATGTCGTAACCGAGCCTCTCCGTAGCATGAAGATTAATCTAAGTCCCTCTGCCGTAGAGGGTGATCAACGGGAATATGAGGCCAGGGCCCAGTACTGCGTGTTCGATCCTTATTGCGTCGTCTTCGTAAGTTCCATCGAGGAGATGAAGAAACGATGCTCTGAATGTGAACACGATGTCTCTCGGTCCGTCTCCCACGCATCGCAAGCATGTATTTTCGAACTTCTGCTTCCATCAGTCGAGCTGGATCTCGCTTTCGAATTCCTCCAGCCCTCTAGACGAGAGACGGAACCGACTTGGTGATACTGAGCGTCAAATGAATATCCGAAGCGGGACCTACATACACATACGCGGAAATCGCATCCGAACCATAAAACTACGTTATCTATGAAAACGTATGGAGCGTTGACGCGAATTGCACGCCTTCGCTCAGTATTCACGAGCACCCGTCGCTCGCCATGCAGGTTAGCGAGCGAAGTCGTTGTGGATGTCGACGTCGCCTGCCGCAAGGGCAGCCATGATAGCTGTCCTTGCAGCGAAGTCCGCAGTGCACGTATTCGGCTGGTGACGCGGTATGATGATGATGACTGCATCGGTAGCGGTCTAGCTTGTTTCTAAGCCTCCACTCCACTTACCCAAAAAGCCGATGTACAAAGTGGTGATGAGCTCCTGACGATGGGCGTACACCACGGATCCGAGGAGCTTCCACGTTCCTCCTCGACGATCCATTCGAACCATACGAAGAATTTGGAAGAAACGCAAACCTCGAAGAGCGGAGGCTGCGAATTTTTGTGTCCCAAGAGCCAAAACAACTATCGATGCCACAATAACAACGATATCTGCAAAATTGAAGAGGAAACAATAATTCGTTAGCACTTAGCTCCAATTTGCAGCTCTGTAAGGGGAGAATCAATTCATGTCAAAATTAACTTCTTGATGGAAATGAGGTCGAGTCTGGTGACAAATCAACTAGTCTCTGAATGGGGTCCACACAGGGCAGAGGGAGCAAACATATGAATACGTTCGATGGGTCGGCTCCCAAACTCATACAGATTCCCAAGTTCCTACACTCGACGATCCGCTTGACCAATCGGTGTGGATTCCGTTCGGCCTTTCTTCCCCGCTCGTGGGCTCGCGGCAAGCTTGTCGTCTTCCCGAAGTATCCAAATGGTTCAGAGCTCGTGGCCAGGTCATGAGGAGGGTCATGCTTGAGGCCAGATGTCAAGTCAGCTCTTGCCGCGGATCCTGGTCCCGAGATATCGGTGCTCAACGTTTCCGGACAAATATCGTCGCGGCATCCCGGGAAGCGACTGAGTTCCTGTGTCGTCTTTAGACCTGGCCTTGGAATACGACTCGACATCCAATTAGAACCCAAACGATTATCCGATTCGATGCGCGCTCTCCCCAAAATGGACCAGCACAAGTCAGCAATTGTAATCTTACGCTGATTCCTCAACTGACTTCCTTATCAATGGCAAGAGCCTTTCAATTCCCATCAGCTTCTTACGAGAACTCAGAACAATGCCGGTCTCTTGATGAAATAGGTGGATAACGGGCTGCACCATTGTCCGAGACATCCAGAAGGCGCAGTTCTTCCTCGTGTGCCGTCCGAAGACGGGAATCCGAGGAAGAACTCAGAGTCTCGCTGGAGCTAGTCGAGAACGAGCTGAACGCGAATACGCCGACCGGCGGTAGGAGGACCGGATCGAGCTTCTCGGCGGGAAGGGATGAGCCGCCCTGGTCCACGGGGCAATCCTCAGAGGTCTGAGCCTGCGAGACAGCCATGACGAGCAATATACGTCATATATGTACATACAGCGCCCGACTCGGAGAATAACTCACATTAGACCGCAGTCGAGATACCGAAGCGACGATAGCACGAACATGAGATAGCCATCAAGTCTTATATGGACTTCGGCAATCTCCGGGCTTTATGGAGCAGAAGACTGCTTCGGGGAGCCGTTCGAGATTTATCTCCTCTGATGATTCGAAACGCTCATGATGACATCGTCCCGAGCAGAGTTTAGTTGACAGTTGTCCCGGAGCCGAGCGGAATCTCGAGTCTCCAGGGCTTCGATAGCCGTATGCTGATGAGTTGTAGGAACGACTTCTGCTCTTTTCTGCGAGGCTCAGCTATCCGAACGTGGGCCGTTCTCAGTTGGGGACTCGCTCCGATATTCGCCAATCGAGTCATAGGAAAGTACGATGAATACAAGAGTACGTCATCTACCGGCTCATCGGCAACAGGCATTGGCTTGCTTTGATCGGAGGATCCCTGTCCGACTCTTGTTTGTTCCCTTTTCCCTTTTTATCTTTCGCTCGTAGCCGTGCTCGGTCGCTCGTTCGCTCGTTTCGACGAATGACGTTTGTCTCGGAGCCAGAGGATCGTAATGAAAAGTAGACGGCACGTATCTCGCATAGCTATGCTCCGCCGGCCGTTGCCGGAGCGGCAGAGGTAAACAAGGAAGAGCAATCCCATTAGGAAGCCCTGTTCTATCCATCCGTTCAGCTCGTTCGCTCGGGCGCTCTTCCCGTTCATCGGTAGGTACGTCCATTAGCTTCGTCGTCTTTTGGCTTGTTTCGCACTCGAAATTTAATCGTCTTACGACCAACTCAATCCCACGGAAGGCCTTCCCGAGTCGAGGAGTACACGTAGACGACGGCCTCGAGGCCTCCCACTGACTGAATCGGTTGGCCATCAGCATACGTTCACCCCAATCGGGTTTCAAGTGTATCGAAGTGAACTTCTGACCCGAGCGGCATCAGCAAAAGGTCTGTTCGCTAGTCCCGTTGAGATGCGCGTCTGCTGCGATGTTGAGTGTAGTGAGCATTTGATAGAGATGGCGGAATGTTTTATTAGCAACGTTGATACATTATTTATATGGTTTTTCTCCGAAGATTGAGCCCGAACAAGCTTCCCGCCGGCGGTCGATTGCGAGGAGGCCTCCCGCTCCGTCCGCCGAATCGAGCAGTGCACTTCTTCTCCGTGCAGGCGCATGCACGTACACCGGAGGGAGCGGGCGTCTTCACATGAGCAAACATACCCTCCAGAACGAATGCCCTACGACTCGTTATACAAGTTGTTGTTGCCCATCATGCCCCTGGGCTCACGGTCGCTGCGCAACGATGTTCTCTCAGGTGTCGGGCTCTTTTCGCGCGCCTGAAGGACTTCCGAAGAATAGCAGCTGAGCGACCTCATCGCTGATGAGCGAACTCTTAAGGAATCGAGTATTCCCCATTCCCCTTGGGAACGTAACCACCCCCCCCGCTCACGCATGGGCAGGTGTGGGAGTTTTTCCGGACTGAGCCATACCGACTCAGGTTCACGTCACGAGTGGATCACCGATGAGGCAATGCTTCCGGAGCGCGTCCAAGGAACAAAAATTCACCTCCGTGGAACTAAATCCGAGACCCCCGATTCCTCCTCAATGACAAGGATCGACCCCTCCTGCGCCCCACCCCTTCAGAGATAGGATGAAAGGGAAAGGGAAGTACTTCTTCGCTAGATGATCGATATCTACGTGAGAATGTCCAATAGAGACTTACCGATTATACAAAAAGGACTTCTTAAAAAGCGAAGTCGTCCCCACCATCCTTGGTATCTTGAGCGGCATCCGGCCGACCATAATCGGCAGAAAAATTCTATCGTGAACCAAACCACCATGACAATCTCCATCTGCAGTAGGATGTAACTCGCCTTTGCTTCGTACGTGTCGATCGTTGCGAACACGCTCAAAATTAGACAGGCGAAGACCATGCAGAACCTGAAAATGGGAAAAAAAGTACATTAAGTACAAGTCTCCAGTGCGCGGCTCGGATCTATGAAGTGAGAAGCTTCTGGGTGCGGGTTCCTCCAGCCCCCTCCCCTCGGAGAAGCATCAAGCGCCTGCGGAGGCGAATATTCGAGAGTCGGCACCAAGCACCGAGTGAATTTTCACGCCACGCCGGTGCTCAACGATCGAGTCGAGCCGTTCTCTCCACCTCGTCCCCGCCTGCAAGGTCTTTGGGCCGACTCCATAGATCGACGTCATCGTTAGGTCCATATATATTTACGATCTTCCGATGTTCTCACTCAGCGGTGTGCTGTTGGCAGAACTCTCCAGGATTTTAGCATATACGATGCGGCGTCGATGACAACGAGCGGACGAAAGGAACGACGAAGACAGATAGGACACGGGGAGAAGAGAGGCATAACAGGACGGAACAGGATAGGGCAAGGCCTGCCTGACCGGACGTTGAGAGTCGCTATCATAAATCGAGTAACGTCATAAAAGCTTTGCTCGCCAACCGGCCGACCAACCTACCTGCCCATCGACCAGCAAGCCGGTCAGCCCCCAAGCAACTTGGCGAACGACCTCGACATTTTCTTCAACGGGAGGACAGCCTTCTTAGGGGATCGACCGACTCGGTTCAGGCAAGAATTTAGGGTCGAGGAGTATCGCAGACGATGTCGTCAAAAATTACGGTGCTTCGTTGTGGACATGGCCTCCTGTCCAGCAGCCGTCGTCAGCAAAGCCTCCCTCCTTCCCGGTGGTGCTGATGCCGGTGCCGCAGCAGATGCCACTTGGCTCGCGTGACCTGATCTTCTCTAAATCGTCCAGACTTGCCGCTAAATCCCGCTTCAAGGTCAAAAAAGACGTCTTTCCAGACGTAGGCTCTCCCGTCGGCGGAGTGTTGTCGTCGCGTCCCTACCCAACCGCGTCCGGAATGGGGAAGAATAAGGATTTCTTCTGGAATAGCATGTCCGGATCAGGAGCAAGTAGAGCGGATCCACCGGCATGTCAGATGGCTCCTCAGGTCAACTCGGTACGAACCAATGGTAGGAGGACAAGGATGCAGAATGGGAGACGCGGATGGTTTCGTCCGAGGTCAGCCGTTGGAAAACTCGGTTGCTTTGTTGGAACCCGACTACTGATATATGACCGACAGCGGAAAGTCTTAAAGCAGAGCATCACATTCAACTCACGTTGGAGCGGGGAAAGAAGAAAAATACATAGTGTAGGCCTCGAGGAGATTCCATGAATCTGTTGCCGCTACTCCGTGTCTGTCCCCGCCGAGAACCCTAGCGCAACATAAACTGCCCGTGAGCGCTTCGCCAGTCCTAAGAATATAGATTCAGTGGATATCTTCCGACTGTAGGAGGACGGTGGGGAAAACCGACGGAACGTTGGGAGCCGAGTTAACGGAAGTGAAAATCGAGCCGCTGTCGTCACAGCACCGGTCGAAAATGATGTCTCGTCTTGATACAGCCAGACCCGCGAAGCAGTGTCTAGAAATTGAGAAATCCATACTCTGCGATTCTGATTCGATGGGAGAGCGTGAATAATGTTCCCCGTCGGCCGATCATGAGTCATAAGGCGAAGTCGATGATTTTTATCCCCGTTCTTCTGTTGCTTCTTCCCCGTATCCATTTTCTTTTCCTCTCGGAGAGTTCCACCACCCGAGGCTCCCTCAAAGTTGGCACAACCGATTTTTATGGAGCGTTTTGGCTCGTCTGCCTAAACTCATTATGTCACGCTGCCACGTTCTGCATGCGTCGACGGTATCGGTGGAGAAATTCCTCCCCGAGCCTCTAGCAGCTGTGGACGCCATAGCCACACGCATACCGACCGACTGAGAGGAAGACAGCCATATACTTTGATCACAGGCTGCAGACGGCATGCTCAGTCGAGGTGTTTTCAGCGATGCTTCGTCTCGGTCGCAGCAACAACAAACTTCCCGGCTGTCATGAAGATGACACGTCTTCATCAGGTCCCTGCTTTGATACAACACAGTTATGTCTCCAGCCGACTTTGATTGCATGCTTGTACAAATACACCCCCAGCTATAACCAATAGCTGCCGATCACCATAGTATCTTTGCCTCATTTGCGAACTTATCAGGGATAATTTCTCCTCTTGACTCTTCCCCGAGTTCTATTTCCCCGGCGCGACGCATTGAAGTGCGGACTACTGCGTGCCGGTCGCGGGATGCAACATTCCGAAGATTACCGCCAACACATGGGCACAAGATTTCCGAGGCTTGTCCTCCCACATTCGGATATTCTCATCTTGGAGGAATGGGATGAAATCCAAGGACGGGGGAAGGTCTATACAAGAGAGTCCGCCGCCCGAATTCAGGAGAAATGAGCTGTCAACGCGTTGCTAGCGGGGTTTTAGCCGCTGTTCGAGAAGGAATGGATCTCGTCAGGCGGGGCCGTATCGCTCGTCGGGAACCGCGGCGGAGCTCCGCTGCGGACCTGTTGCGTGGTTCCGTCACCGGCCGTTCGGTCTCGTCTTCGGTCTCCGCGGGGAGGGGGTGCTGTGGCCGCCACCGAAAACCAACTCCGTGCCGTAGTCGGCGAATGACCGAGTGACGGTGCGAAGGAAAGGAAGTGTAAGACAGAACGGTCTAACGAGGCCGTCCGCGGGCTCTCAGTCAGCTGCCCACAAGAAGCCGGAAGGGAGGGAGATCCCGGAGAACTCCTCGATTCTCGAGGAGCTCGTACGCTCAGGGGATTCCACGGCGCTTCGCGTCGAGCACGTTCAATGCTACTCAAGTTCACGTATCAGCGACTAACCCTTCACTGATCGTGTAAGAAGTCGAAGGAATTGGCGCAAATTGATGAGCGGTCACCGAGGGAAAACGCATGAGGGCGGGAGCTGGTCCGGAGCCTCTGCTCGATCGTTGCTCGTCTTGGGTCTCGTAGGTCGAGCGGGAACATGAACATCCGATCTCGCCATCTGTTCCATTGCTAGGGCGATCCAGATGAATCCCTCGCTCCCTAAAAAGACGACGGGATCGACTCGGAAACCGAGAGCTTTCACGCCGTCTCCGTACAGCCCTCCCTAGGCGCTACAGAAAGCGCCGAGCATGGAGAAGTGTCACAACCAGATGCTGCCCGATCTAGTTTACGGCAGGGAACATTCTCTTTGCGGTCACGCCGGCCGGCCGTCGCGTCGGTCAAACAGACGAGCAAGGGTTCCGAGAACACTCCAATGTCGAGTGCATGGTGACCAGAATCTCGTTTTGTTGTGTTCGCCGCATGTGAATGACGATATCAAATGCTTTCGCGCCAGAACTCTGGCGCAGACGCCAGTGCTAAGAGTGACGTGACGCAATTCTGTGAAATGTATCGTATACGTATGTAGACACATTTTCGTACATATATATGATTGTGTACCCTTACTTTACATCTGAAGAGCATAAAAGTGATCCCGTGATGCCGAAATTCCCGTCGCTTTCGTCTCTCTCCATGTGTTCGTGAGAGCTCGCGGATTCCAAGCCTAATCAAGGTCGAGTCGGAACCCCCGGAAGTACGAACGGTTGGATTTCGAGCCTCGGTCCGCTTCCTTAGGCGTTGGGTTCCGCGGCATAGGCTCTCCGGGCACCCGGAAAGAGAGTCACTCAGTCATCAGACTGCATGAGTCCCCTGTGTCTCGGGAGAAGATTCTAAATATTTTGAAACAAACAGAGCAGCTGGATACAGAGCAAGATCCTGAAGAGCCGCGGGGGAAAAAAGGAAGAGCTATAAGCTTTCACTCAGTCGACTAGAAGGGACGACAGCCACGAGAGCGATTCAGAAGTCTCGTCTACGACTCTCGAGAGTGAAGAGACGAGCAAATGATTGCGACAGCCTCACTTCCCCCCTCTTCCGCCCTAGCCGCGCTCACTGTTCCGTCTTTCTCGTACTCCTTTCGGTTTTCCCCCGCTCCAGCTCGTGTTGCTCTTCATATATGTCCGACACGCGCTCAATCTTTTCTCCTTACGTCGCACTCAAGCGAACAGGGCTCTATTGGAGCTAGTAGTCTGCTCCGGCGATCGTAAGTCCACCACTGACAGACGGGAGATTTGTCTTTCAGGGCTTGACAGCTGAGTTATTGAAACGAACTAAAAAGTCTATGTTCGTCTTGTACGTGCTCACGTTTCCCTCACAAGTCCCGCGGCTGCTCCTCCGCGAGAGAATTTCCTGTCCTCCCGCCTAGCGGAGTCATCGCCTCCTTGATAAATATCGAGAGGTGGGAAATCGATCGCTCGGCGCGACTTTCGCCCGATAGTGAATTTGACCGCGTATGGGAATAGTTCGCTGAATGCTCTTTTCATGGAACCCATGAGCCGACCCCGAAATCTCGACTCCAATATCGTCCAACCCTCGGCAGCTGCTTCCGCTTTCCTTTTACCCCATTCCGTCGGAACACGAGGCTACTGGGCTGCGTCGAAAAGGCCACTTGGCCGAACTCTCAGGGAAAGTTAACTTTGTCCGAATTGTCGAACTAGGTACGATCGTCGTACCATCGTTTTGCCAAGGACGGACGGCGACGGCTCTACGCGGTCGCGGATCTTGAGGGTTGCGATCTTACGGTCACAATACGCCGCGTATCTGGAAGGTGTATTGTTCCCGTATGGTGTTACTCCGATTAAATTATCGACTCTCCGTGGAGAAGATATCGAAGAGAACTGATTTCTCTCGGCTGGTTCGTCAAGGAAGGCCGCACGAGGATCCCGATCGGACATGTGATCGAGGAGGCGAGTCGATGAGTCTCAGGCGGTCCCCGTTGATCGCGGAAAACTTTAGACCGAACTCCTCGCTCGAGAAATCCGTCGTCGAACACGGGAAACCATACAAAGTGAATCGTGTGCATGAGCCCCAGCTTGTCAACGCAAGCCCGTAGGAGTCTATGTCGCCGGGAAAGGCCGCCGAGTCTAGCTGAGGGCGTGATAGGATTAGCTGGTAAGAGCGCCAAAGTTTCTGAAAATGTCAACTCAGACGAGAGGCAGCGAGCCA